AGGATAGTAGATATGTTTGATAGATTTATAGTTATATTGATAGTAGATAGTATATTGATAGTAGATAGATTTATCTAACTATATAAATTTTTCGTGAATGATCAAACGAAAAATAAGATATTATTAAAAGATAATGAAAATGAAAGTTATAAATGATTCATTTTCTTTATATTGTATTTTATATTCAAAATATTTGATCAATTAAATCGTTATTGATTTATTTAAATAATTTTAAACTTATTAAAAATCAAAATTATTATTATAATATTATAAATAAATAATAAGAAAAGAAAAAACAATTATTTTAAAGCTATATTTAAAAATAAATAATTGTTAATGTGAAGAATTTTTATTTTAAATATTAATGAATATTATCAAAAATATTTTATCATTAGATAAATATGAATTATTTCGAGATGAACATATATTAAAATGAAAGTGTATTAAATTCACCAGATGCAGTATAATGCAACTAAATAAAATGCAATTAAATCCGAAAGTGAATTACAATTTTTTTAATTGTTTTTATTATATTTTTATTATATATTAAAAAATTTTTAATTATAATAGTAAAGATATTAATAAAATTCATTATAATAGTGAAAATATATTATAATAATTATAATAACTTATAATAGTAACTTCATTATAATAGTTGTTAAAATATAATTATATATATTTTAAAATTTATTAATATTATATACGATTCTGTAAAATTTAATATATCGATAATCATACGAATCATAAGAATAATCATTTTTTCTTTTCCTCGAAAAAATTTAAAAGATGAATTTTAAAAAATTTAAGCTGATTGAAGCTTAAGCTGATAAAAAATTTGATTCAACTTTATGATGATTTATAATAATTGTATATAGTGAAAATCATTAAATTTAGAACAAATAGAATTGCGATATGCGTTGATACATATGCGTTAAGTGACTATTGTCACGTTGCGTGCTACTCAAGGAAAGTAACGGTATACTTCTGGAGCTTTCACGTCGTACGCCATCGAATTTGTGATTCTGGATCTACAGTTTTACAGGAGAGGCTCGTCGCTACATACGAAGACGAGTTATTGTACTCAGTTCACATTATGGGGTTCGATGTGAACCGCTTTCAAGGAGAAGTTGATGAAGAATTAGTTTGTCCAATATGCTCTGGAGTCCTTGAGGATCCTGTGCAGGTATTATTTCTGTTTCGTCCATTTATGATTAAATATTTTTAATAAACTAGTTTTATACATTTACACAAATCTAACCTAACTTTTTACCGATTTACTTTCGTTAAAATTTTATTTTTATGATTATTATATTTTCTATTGATTATTAAATATTGTCAAATGTGTACCGATAATTGTTTTTACATTATGTTCAACAATTTAATTTATAAAAGATATTGGTTAAAATATCTAATATTGATTTTATAATGTCAATCGCTTAAATTTACGACTTCCGTTCTGTCAAAATGCCTATAAATATTACTATTTTGATTTTATTTACTATGAATAAGATTGATATAGATTTTTTAATAATTTTATTTTGCTTTTTAATAAATTATGTAGAATAATATTTTATATTTATTATATATTTTAAAATTTAATACTAAATTCTGTAAAATATATAGCTTAGCTTAAAAACTGGTAGGTGAACAATATGTTGCAGGCACCTGTATGTGAACATGCCTTTTGTCGTACATGTATTAATGAATGGATAAATAGACAACCTACCTGTCCACTGGATCGTACACCAATTACATCTGCTCAGCTTAGAGCAGTTCCAAGAATACTTCGAAATCTATTGGCCCGCCTTTGTATTAGTTGTGATAACATTATGTATGGATGTCAAGTCATAGTTAAGCTTGACAGTTTAGTGTCACATTTGGAGCAATGTGAATATAATCCTAAGAGACCAATGCTTTGTGAACAAGGATGTAGTCTTATTATTCCCAAAAATGAATTAAAAGATCATAATTGTGTGAGAGAACTTAGAAACATTATACATTCCCAACAACAAAAACTTGCTGATATGAAACGTGAATTAGGTGAACAACAACTTCAAATAAATGAACATAAGAGAGAAATACATCTTTTAAAAGATTTTATGAGAGCATTGAGAGTTTCAAATCCTGCAATGCGTGCAATTGCTGATCAGATGGAAAGAGACGAAGTTGTAAGATGGTCTGCTACTCTGCCTAGAGCAAGAGTAACAAGATGGGGAGGAATGATTTCCACTCCTGATGAGTTATTACAGGTACTGTAATTCATAAATTTATATTATTAATTAATTCTATAAACTAATTATAAACATAAAATTCTATAAACATAAATTTATTTATTTATTATTATTTATTACAGACTATGATAAAAAGAACTTTATCGGAATATAATTGCCCACCTCATGTAATTGATGAATTAATGGAAAATTGTCATGAAAGGAAATGGCCTCCAGGATTAAATTCCCTTGAAACCAGACAAAATTCTAGAAGACAATATGATAATTATGTTTGTAAAAGAGTCCCTGGTAAACAAGCAGTGTTAGTTCTTTATTGTGATAATACACATATGCCAGAAGATATGATGGTTGAACCTGGATTAGTGATGATTTTTGCACATGGCATAGAATAAAATTTTTTACCAATGTACCATGCATGCCAAGATATTTTGATGTCCATCTTTTTTGTTATATTCATCGTGATTAACCTTGAAAATGCATGGAATATCTTAGTACTTATATGCAGATATTGGAATATTTGCATAATTTATCTTGCAATTACCGCAGGATATCTTTCTAAAAGTATTGAAAGAAACAAATGACATGCCTCTTGTGATAAACAATTGTACAGACGCAATTGCCACACACAAAAAACTAATTGAATGTCTGAATCATTACACTGTGATATACTATTTCATTGAGAAATTCCTGAAATTGCGTGATAAATAGTAAACTATTTTTTTTGCATAATTCCATGTACATTTTTATAAATCGAATTTTTTGTTTATCATCTGATAAATCAACTATTTGTCAACTATTTCAGGAAATTTTTTACATATAGAAGTCTGTAAGTGTTTTATTATAATGCTTTAGAAAAGTAAGAAAGAAAAAATATAGAAATTATCAATATGGTAATTGCTACTATTAAGATTTGAATGTGTTCTAAAAAATAAGTATCAAATATCAGAATGAAGAAAAATTTCTTCTTTTCCCAACATTATTTATATGATTTTAATAAAACACCTCAAAGTGCGTATGAAATAAACATCCTATACAACGATTGTTTGAATAAATTAATATACTCTGAGCGAACATATATATCGTTTACAATTTATACAAGATAAGAATGCTATTTTCACAAAATAATACAAATATTAGTTTAAACTATAGCATATGATAATGAAATTAATGAAAAAATGAATTTTTTTAATATCATTTTTTTTGAAATTGATTGTATAAAAAATATGTATAATATCAAGAATAAGTGTAGAACATTCGATCCTTTAGCTATTTTTAAGTAAATATATAATAAAGTTCTGCTTTTTTGTCTTTGCACAAATGCATTAAAAATAAGTTAGTTTTTTGAATCTTTACTTGTTTCTGCAAAATAAGTTAGTTTTTTTTTAAATTGCATTATTTATCTTTGAATGTAAGACTTTTGTATAACGCAGCTTCTTATCTTAATATATACTAATACATGAGGCAATATTACATATTTTATTTTGGACATTAATGTTAATTATGAGTTATGTTTACATATAATTCTTTTTATCTTTATTTATGTAACATTTTTCAATAGCTTTGAAAATATAGAATTTTAATACATTGAGTACTAAGTAGTTTCTACATTTTGTAGTCACATATATTTTGTAACAAAAATTATTAAAAATTAATTTTTTATATTGGATTATACACATATATGTATATTTATATATTATTTCTATATACATAATATATTATATGTTTATATGTATGTTTAATTATTAAATATTATTGACTTTCTTGATAATATTGAAAAAAAAATGATAAAAAATAATACAAATAATACATTACAAAATTAATACAAATAAGAAATTAAAAAATTTTTACAATATAATTTTATATTTATTAATAGCACTCAATGCATTAAATATTGAAAATTATTTTTTCTCAGAGCTTTTTTAATGCAAAAATTGTACACAATTTTATATACAAATTGATAGTTGTTATATTCATAATAAATTTGATTTTATGTATTGTAAATCATTTGATATAATAGTTTATTTTACATATATTCGCGCATGCTGTAAAATTTTCAGGATCTAGCGTCGGTGTGTCACCACGAAGAATGCAATAAAATGCAATAAAATGACAAAATAAATGAAAAGTATTATATTCCCACTAAATATGAATAACGTAAAATTTAAAAAAAAATATATCCTATACGTAAATATTTTTATTTAATTTGTGTTTTAATTTTTCTAAATATTTTTATGTTTACAAAAAAAGATACAAAATCTTTTAACAATATTATAAAACTTATGATTTTTATTATGATATAAGATAATTTTCTTTGGTTATGTATTACAGTGCATTTTGAATAACTATCATTGATGTATTGTCTTTGTATTATCTTTTCAAAAACTTTTAATTCCCTTAATATGAATTATAACTTAACTTATTCGAGTTTAAATAGCCATTGATGGATGCACAGTAGGGAATACGTTTTATTTTCCACAATAAGAAGTGGAAAAACCTACGTTCAGTCTTTTGTGCATTGAAATAAAATTTTATTTATTGAAAATTTTATTTTTTTTTTGCATATTTATCGAAAAATATTAAAAGATATATAGTTTTCTCAAAATTTTAATACATCGATGGCTGGGCCCTGAGATATGGCACTTAATATGCGATAATTTTAATTTATTTTCAATTATTTTTGAACAATTATCTTAGATATTTAAAATACTAATATAACATTTTCATAAAAATGAGCGAAAATTATATAATAATTTTATATATTCATTGTATTCATGATTTGTTTTTTTTTAATAGCACTTAAAAATGAATTGGAAGATTATTATTAAAAAAGAAAATTACAACATTAATTAATTTTAAGTGCATTTTCATAATTGAAATTGTTAAAAATTATATCGTTGAGCATATGCCTGTTATAACATGTCCATGAGCATGCTCAGGATCTAGATTTATAGATTTCATGTTGATTTGAATCTTAGTAATGCATCCAACATATTGTGTTTGTGAAATACTTCCCCGTAATCTCTTTCCAAGCAATGGATGTCCACCGATAAAGATTTGATGGCTCATGAGACTTCCCGCTACATTTTTACCGCCAATTCCTGGCGCGGCTGCTTTATAATCTACTGATAAGAGTACGACATTCTTCTGTTTAACAGCTGTACAAAAAATATATTAATTTTATATTAACTTTTCATTAATATTTTTTATGAAAAGAAAACAAGTATATAATAATAATATTCGGTTAAATTTTAATATCTCATCCTTATTTTTCATCAATTATTCAATATTTTAATTTTTAATAATTTTTAATAATTTTTAATAATTTTTAATAATTTTAATAATAAATAAGAAAAGAAAATAAAAATAATTAAAAATAGTAGGATAAAAGCAATATATCATAGTAGTGATAATTAAAAGAATGATATAAAAATAATTATAGAATAAAAATGCAATAAAAAAATTTATTTTTTGTACTTTTCATCTCATAACATTAGTTATGAGCAATATTAATAAATTATAAAAATTCTTTTGATTTTATATTCAAATAAATGTAAATGTCGGATTTATTTTAATAATCTAGTTTATATATTATATAATTTTACTAATACATATATTATCAATAGTTATTTAATATGATTTATTAAATAATTATTAATAAAATTTTTAAAATTATTATATATATAATAAAGTTCAATTTATATTATATTTGAATTCATTAAATGGATTAATCTCAACAATCTATTAGCATTGATATGTCCATTGGAATCTTCATAAAGATAAAATGAAAATTATCGAAAATAAAATTTTTTTTGCCACATAATTATTATTATTTTTTTTATTCTTTTGAAAAATGTTTTCAATCATTGCATCATTAACTAAACATATTGCGTTTATTTCACTTGCCCTAATTATATTTTCTTATTTTCTCATTTCGTAGAATCAATTCTTTGAAGAAAAATTCTATTCTGTAGTTATAATCTTTATGTTTACTATTGAATTTTGATCTTATTAAAATGTAATCATATATTATTAATAATATTATAATATTGTAAACTAAATTTAAATATTACCTCGAATATTGTGCCATTTCCCATCGCATAAAGAACTCGAATATGTTGGTTCAAAAGAGGTTTTTATTAAACCTTTATGCGTTTTAACAAGGAATGTCACAGTTCCATTAATCATTTCCAAGATCAAATAATCTCGTTTCCCACCAATATATAATAAGAGACCGGATGTTGAACGAGGTTTAATTTCCATTTGAATGTCAACTGTTCTACCGATACCGAAATTATCCACTAAGAATAATATTTTATAATTAAAATTTGTTATATTAAATTTTAATAATACTTAATCAATTATTATCAGTATATATCATTATGTGATACGCACTTGGTTTATATAGATTGCTACCATTACCCGGAAAAAAGAATAATCCTTCTTCAACTTGTTTTGAACATGGAATTATACCAACTTTATTTGTAGGTTCACTAACTGGTTGTCCATTCACCATAAAGTTTCCTAAACATCCTTTAAATGTATCGTTCATACCCTGAGAGCAATTTTTAAAAAATTGTTAAAAATTGTTACAAGTATATATATTTTTAAATATATAATTTATGTACTAATTTACTTACAATCATATCAAGAACTTTACTAGACATGTTTTGAAGTATTCCTCCTACATAGAATGGAGGACTAACATTTATAACTTCTATCGTTCCTTGAGAATATCCTGTAACTGCTTCATCTTCATCAACAATTAATTGTCCATAGTTTCCTTTCCTTTTAAATATCACGATATGCCATTTGTTGTCATTTATTTTCGTGTCGCTAATTAAGAGAGCTGGTCCACTTCCACAATCAAACTTATAATGCAACTTAATAAAAATTTAAAATATGTGAAAATGACGTATATAGTTTTTTAAATTTTTTATGCACGAATTAATAATAATTATGTTAAAAAATTTTTTAAAGATCAATTTAAATTATATGAAAATTTGATTTCGATGCTTTTTCGACATTTTATGTCAAATTAATATTTTACCTTTCCATTGTTGACATATAAAGCTATTAAATTCTGATTAGTATGATCCGCCGTATAGAAAATGATTCCATTATCGGCCATGGTTTTGATATCAATTTGGAAATCGTAATCATTCTTGTATCTGCCGTTTAGTGATCTGTATTCCAATCTACTATTTCTTGCGGTGCCTATATGTCAAATATTTTTTAAATTAAAATTTATTATTTTTCATTTAATTTAAAATATCATCACGATATCATACCGAATCGCCAAGTATTTTCCATATCAGGATCTACAGTGGGATAATATGGCAATTGACATTGATCGACATATAACGGAGTTATTCTCTGAGTTGTAGTAGTAGCTTCAGTGGTTGTAGTTAATTCATCATGATAATTAGTCAGACGTCCTTCAATCGTAGGTTCTTCTTCATCAGTTCCCTTATCTAAATCGACGTCAATAATGTCTAACGAAATTTAATAGATTACAGATTAGATTACTTTATCGCATTCATTATTTTATTGCTATAATATTACTTACTAATCTGAGTAGATATTTCGACATTGTCATCTGGACTTTCTGTAGGCAATAGAGGTGGAGGTACATCTGGTTCTAGTTCAGGTATATATGGTGCAGCTATGAGTATATGCGTATATTAAAATAATATATATAATCTTTCAACTAATATTATAACTATATATTAATTATATACTAATTATTTATATATTATATACTCGAACATTTTCTGTGAAATATACTCAAGAATAATTTCTATCAAGGAATTTTTTTAAATTCAATGAAACAAATAATATTACACCGAAACAATACAATATATTTTTTGGATTATTTCTTTTTGTCTTTGAATAGCTGCTCAGATCGATATTATATCAATAATTCTATTGATGATATTTAAATAATTTGATACTGATATTTCTTAAAATTATTTTTAAAGACGTTTCTTAAAATTATTTTAAAAGAATATTATAATAAATCAAAAATCATTCGAATAAAATATGCGAATAAAATAATACTTATTTGATATTTTAAATAAATAAAATAAATAATAAATAATATTAATATAATAAATAAATAATATTATAAATAAAATATTATTTATTAATAATTTATAATAATGTCTAACTATCTAATTTTATGAATAATATGATGTATATATATTAAAAGACATTAAAATTATAATGAATTGTGAATTGAATTTTATAAATTTGATTTATATATTTATTTTATATACATGAAATACTTGAAAAAATTAAATGTTCTTATTTTATTATACAAGATTTTTTTACAAAAAAATTTAATATTACTTTTAAAAATGAAAGTTATTAAATAGATATCGAAATCTTTATAAAATAGTATTAAAAACATTTTGTCAAAGCACCAAATGGATAATAATATTTTTGAAAATGAATTAAATAGTTATATATTTTTATATATACATATTGAAAAGATCGATTTTTTTGTATTTTTAGCATATACTGATATCAGATCAAAATTCATTCAAATTAATATCAAAAAATATCGAAGAATAAATATCACTAAATGTATATTATTATAATAAAGATACCAACTGTTATATACATTTACCAATTGTCATATCTACATTCATCATTGTCAGCCAAAATGAAATAAAATTAGAATTTCATATTTCTATAATAATTATGTATATTCTCACGATTAATTTTGAATTTATAATGAATAAATATGTTATAACTATTGTTAAAATGTTAATTACTTACTCGATGGATCTCCTAACTTGCACTTTCCAAGAAGAGCATGAGGTCTCTCCGTCGTATTCGCGAAATTGACAATAACACCGTTCAATGTTGCATCTCCGATACAACCGACAAATGGAGTCATAGCTCCAGTTTCAGGAATACCGAAAATAGCCGGTAAACCACCGATATACAAACTACCGTAAGGTATTTGTAATACAGGCGGTTCTATATCAGAACTAAAATTCTTAGTGTCATCGATATCAAGTTTCAAAGAGTCGTATGAATGTGTAGCCGTGACTACATGCCACTCATTGTCATTGAACTTAATGCTCGCGAAACTCGTTCGTAATTCTTCACCCTGACTGTTGAAGACGAGTACACCATCGATTAGAGATAAATAGCTAACTACACCTTTCTCGTGATCAGTTACGTAAAAAATTAAGCCATCATTCGCTAAAGTTTTAAATTTCAAGTTCACTTGAAGAACATTTGGCACGGAAATATTATGCCATCTTACATAGCCGGATGTATTCTCTTCGAAAGACACCAAACTTGCAAACTAGATTAAACAAAAAAAAAAATAATAATAAAATTAAATTATTAAAATTTTTATTTATATTATTATATGTAATTTTATTTATATTAATTAATATTTTACCTATTGCATGATTGTCTCAATCAAGCATCGAAAAGTTTATTGATACAATCTTTATATAAGATTCTGATAGATAAAATATTAACATTATTTATTTAATATAATTTTCAATTTATATTATCTACAATAAAGCTCCATTTATTAGAATGAAATTTTAATTAATTAATTAAGTAAATTTTAATTAAGTGAATTCTAGCTAAATTCCTATTAATTAATGCCAAGCATCATTCTAATTATATGCATGTTTACTACGAATGAAAAAAAATATAATATAATAATATAACGAATGAAAACAAATATAATATAATAACAATAGACTAACATACTACATAATTCAAAAAATAAGCTAAATATATGATTGAATCCAGTTATCTAAATTTGAATTTCACTTATTTAAACAAAAAATCAAAAATAGTGGAAATAATTAGCAAATTTATTAAATGAAATTATCCATCTAATTAATGAAGTTCTATATATATATATATATATTATAGTTTTTTAAATTAAAAATAAAAAAAATTGAATCTCTTTATATTTAAATAATGCTTCTAATCTAATTAAGCTAATTGGCATTATAATTATTGAAACAATGAGTTAGAAAACATTGTCGAAGTTAGAAAATTTGATCGAAAACTGTTTCAAAGATTATAATTATTGTGGTTCAGATTGCAGAACTATACTTTTCAAATATATTAATAAAAATGTACCTATTACTATTTCATTTACATATATACGTCATGATAGTATATGTTTTAGTATGCTTCAGTTTTATAAATACATTATAATGATAGACATCTAAAATAACAGATAAACTAATATCATCAAATTTCCAATATTTTTCTATACTGATATTGGATTCCACGGATGTGTTGGATTTATGGAATGTAAAAATAAAATAAAATTTTGAGTGATGAAATTATAATAACAATATTACATATATGGTTAATATCGCTACAATGAGACGTTATAATTTGAATTATTCATTATTTTATATTTTATTTTAGCATTTCGCACATTTGCGGAATGCTTAAGCTCTCTATGGATATATACTAAGTATAATATTAGTTCATCAATAGTTATACATTTTAAGTGTCATCTATCATAATATGTTTATAATAGTTGATATTAAAATTAATAAATGATAGTTTAATATTATAATTAATATAACTAATATAATTATTATATTTATCTTGAGAATTTAGAAATAATTATATATAAAATATAAAATATAAAATAATTTTTGTAACTGAAATTATAATTATATCACTTTCATATTTTTATATTTGTTATTCTTCTATTATTGTAACTTCAATTGTTCGGTTTTATATAGAATAATGATGATACAATGGAAAATTCCTCAAAAAGGGATTGATTTTATATAAAAAAATAATATATCGAAAATAAAATCTTTTTGTATGAAGCTTTGCTTTCAAAAAAATCGAGTTTAAATATTCGTCAAGTACACATATATAATTATTTCTTAATTTAATATATCTCGATATGGCTTACTTTTTCTAAATTCAAATTTGTGTTTATTGTATTGGATAATTAAGTATAATAATAATATAATAAAATAATAATAATATAATAAAATAGAATATTAACTATTATAATAAATTTTATATTTAAATGATATGACTTCTTTGAAGGTCGAATTGGTTATCATGGAACTTAGCCATCATATTCTCCTGACTTCATATCAATTAACTTTTATTTATGGATCAAATTTAAATAGATTCACATTAAATCAGTTATTTATTACAAATTTTAATTAATTAAAGAAAATTGAATCACATTCAATCATTTAAAACAGCAGAATAGCTAGAAAATATCCATAAAAATTTAGTTAAATCACAATTGTATATTCGAATGGCCAACATTTTCAACAATTTTTATAATAATTTATAAATAATAAAATTTATGTATATTAATATTCTGTTTTATTATGTATTTTTAATTATCAAGTATAATAAATTTGAATCGACAAAGTAAATTATGATCAAATGTATTAGATTATAATCAAGTATATATACACATGTATTTGACAAATTTAAAGTCGACAAATTTAAATTGAAAACAAAGAATCATATGAAAAAATTTTATTATATATTTTCGATTTTTTTTATATAGAATTATGCTCTTTTCATTGTATTATTTAGCGATCATCATGTATATTATTTTTTCATGAAACATGATAAATATGGTAGTATCAGTTTATTTATTTAAATGTTATTTATTGTGATGTGTTTATAGAAATAATAAATAAATAATAGTCATCCTGATGCATATACTGTCATAGACGCATTTATGTACATAAGTAAGATTCAATATAATATCTCAAAAGCCATGAATTTGTAGCAATTCGAATTATAATCTTTGAGGCATAAGTTCTTGATTGAGCTATTATTCATTCTTTAATTCGTTGTCCTAATAATTAAAATTATTTTAATAATTATAATTATTAAAATATTTTAATAATTAAAATTACTTTAAGAGTATGAGTCAATTATTTAAAATTAGAGACTGCTTCTCTGATCTTAATCCTCTTGAAATATATTATCAAGGTTATCATTTTGAACAACTTTTTCTTATATATTTCAACGATCATTCAGCTTTAATTTCGATATACAATACAAAATCGATATATAATATAATGCAAAAATGTTTTCTATCTCACATATCATATTTATAAGTGTCTGTGAATAAAATTTAGAATAAATTTGAATTAAATTTAAATTAGATTTTGATTAGATATAATATATATATTATTTCTTTTTATCCATCTACTTCGCGGAGATCAAATAATAATTAAATGAATTTGATTAATTGGCCAAGAAGTTAATTAAAATTAAATATTAAATATTGTTGTAGATCTATTCTTTAAGAATTTTGTATTCAAATGATACGATAAATAAATTATCTCTCTCTCTTTTAAATTTAACAATTTTAACTTTAACAACTCAAACTTAATTTAAACTTAATTGTAAATCAAATTCTTAAAAAAAGTACATGTAATAGTTAACACATTAATAAAATAAATGTTTTTTTATTGCAAAATAAACTAAATTTATAAGATGCAGAAAATGCCAAAATTATTTTCAAAAAAACCATTTTAAAAAATTTAATATATGTAATGCATTTTTACGCGAATGTTTCTTATCTATAATCTTAGTAGCTAATTACTTGTGTCGAGTTATGTTGTAAGTTTTTCAAAAATGCTCTTTGTAAGAAATGCAAATTTAGATAGTAAACACACATTAGAAGTCTTTAAGTTTGGGAATCCATTATTAAATTCTCTTAGTAAATATTTTCGTATCAATTGTATTTTTACAAAAAAAAAAAAAAACGCTAAGAGTGCAACTTTAAGAGTATGAAAGATATAAGATGTAGATTTAAACAAAAATTTTCTAATTTATTAACTATTCTTAAAAGTTATTTATGTTATTTTTACTTCTTAAAAATAAATAATGTTATTAATTAAATGTTAATTAAGAAGTTATGAAGTAAAAAAAAAAATTTTCTTAAGATGATAAAAAACAAAAAAACAAATTAAATCAGTCTTTATGACGTTTTTGTTGAAATACAATACTCTATACAATATGCAAAATACTCTATACAATATACAAAATATAAAACGAAAAAATAAATTATAAAAACAAAAGTATTATGTTTCAAATTATATATCTGTCTTCTGAATAATAATAAATATATATTTAATATATAACGATTTGATTACTAATTTTGATTTTGATTACTAATTTGAATTGATATTTGATTTAAATTTAAAAAAATAAATAATAGATTGCGATTCATATTAAATTTTATATTATATCGTTATCATGTTTGAAAATGTTTTAAACATAATATTAAAAAATGAAATTAATTAAGTTTTAGATAAGTTATATTTATAAAACTTAAGATAATCTTATAATGAAAAATATTAAAGAAGTAAGTCTAAATCGATATCGAATTTTCATTTCAATTAGATTTCAATTTAATAAATTTAAATTAAAATCAATTAAATCTATTCAATTACTAAAATAGATTAAACAAAATAACTCATTCCTAATTAAAATCTAATACACATCTAAGATAAATTTATTCCGAAATCTAATAAAATAATTCAAATACAATCCAAATTTAAATCTATCTAATCTAAATCTATTCTAAATTTAATCTAAATTTATTCCAAATTTTAAAAATATGACATGTAATATTAGTAATGTTTTTGCGTATTTTTATATCTGAAAATTGAATGGTTATACAAAATGAATCATCTGAAAGTTGAAATAACTTCGAAACTGTTAATTATATTGAAAAAATTTTCAAACAAAAGTTAAATAGTTTGTAGAAGAATTCAAAATAATTCATTTTTTTGTAAATAGACAAGATCAAGTTTCCTTTTTTAAATGAAATTATATATCTTTTATATTATTTAATAGATTAATTGATGCAACTCGTTATTCTTTATTAATCCTATACATATCGAAAAATTATTAGTTTAAAAGAAGATATTTAAACGTAAATTTCATAAAACTTTATACAAAATTTGACAAAAGACAAAGAAAGTATAAATCGAATAATCCTTGTCTTTCATATACATATACTATATTTTCATGTAAAATTTTATAAAATTAAAATTAAAATATCTTTCAAAATAATGACCTTTCAATATAAAATATAATCGAATCATTCATTAAAAATACTGCGATTTCATTTAAAAAATAAACTTTATACATTTTTTATACATCCATTTAAAAAAAAAACAAATTATATCAATACCTTTGAAACCATTTAATTTTTGTCTAAAAACTTTTTTTCGATATAATCAACAGTTTTGAATATATTTTATCTTTCAATTTTAGTTCTTTAATTCATTCTTTATATGCTTTAGAAAAATTACTTAGGACACTGTTCTTGATAAGATATCTAAAATTCAAAAACAGTAAATGTAACTTTCATTCCAATAATTACTATTATTTTCGTAAGTTTTCAAAAGATTGATAAATCAATATACAACGAGCATATTTATTTTATAAAAAATGTTATATTACCCGTATTGGACAGCCAGGAATTACGCCAAATGCTTGAATGTTGCGAGTCAAATCAATTATGGTATCGAAAATAAATACTTCATCGATACAGCCTTCGAAACCTTCATTGGTAACAGGTTTGTAAGGATGTTTAGCATTTGGTGGATATCCTCCGAAATAAATATTATCCGAGGATATCAAGTTTCTTCCATTTCCTTTTGCCTTACTCTTAACTACATTTGCACCATCCACTTTCAGAACACCCGACTTCTCGTATCTTAAAGCTTGCAAATTGTGCCAATTTCCATCATTGAATTTGTTCACTGACTGCAAACTAGTTTCTCCTTCACCAAGATCGTATTGATAAAGGACGTGACCATTCCTCATTTCCAAGGACAAAAACTGTTTGCCTTTACCCATCAAGTAAATCAAGCCATCTTCCGCAAATGTTTTAAAGTTCAATCTAATACTAAATTTTTTAGTGTCCGGCGAAATTTGGAAATCTTTCTTTCTCAAAATGGCGTATCCATGTTTGTCGAACCTGTAACCAGTACTCGGTTGGAAGTTGATTAATTTATCTCTTTCTATCGCTGGTTTATTGTTATTCTCTCCATCGATGAAATTCCAGAAGGATACCGGCGTGTCTTCTCCTATCACAAGCTCTTCCATTTCACCCTCGAACGAGGTCGCAGTCACAGCGTTCTGCATATTGAAAGACGATGGATAACCACCTACGAATAGCTTCGAGTATTCTTGATCCACGTTAAATATCGAGTATGAACCATGCAATACATGTGTTTTTTCGTATAATTGCTCTTTGCCTTCTCCAATATCCTCGCGAATAATTAATTTTACATTCTTACCAGTCCTTTCGACAATTATCTGACGCCATATATTATCCGACACGAATTTGTTATTAATGATTTTCTCAGGTCCAGATCCTAAATCAATTATAAGTACTGGATAACCACTTTCGATCAACAATGCCATGAAATCGTGGGTTTTCGAGCGAGGTAGTTTAACATTTTCCTCGTTTCCTAGATAAAGGAGAAAACCGTTGGTCGTATTCGTTCTGAAGTATAAAGATATCTTGGTAGAAGTAGTCAATAGAGGTAAATTTTCTGGATTCTTCAATTCTAAGGTAGTATTTCTATAAAAGGTAAGACCAAGTTTGTAACGATCTGCAAGTTCTCTCGCATTCGCAATTTTGTTTTTTAATGTCTCAATCTTGCTCTGCAAATCGGTTCCATTAGTCTCTATCATTTTTTGATTATTGTCCAAATTATTTAATAATTTTGCAATATCTGGAAGATATTTGTCAACAATGTCTAGTTGCTTTTTCGCCTGAGATACATCACGAATGGATTCCGAGATGTTTTTCGACAACTGTTTCGTTTTCTTCAAATCTTCTGGAATTTGATCAACGATATCCTTTGTGTCCCCTTCGGAAAGTTTGATATTCTTCTCTACCTCTATGATTTGATTCATAGCATCTTGAGCAACTGTCGAAGAAGAAGTTTGAATATTACTAAGGATCTTTTCAATGTTGTCCAACATTTCTCTGTTGCGTTTATTTTGTTCCGAGATTAAAGCTGCGTCTATTTTGGCATTATTTAAATTGTTCTCAGGCTTCATCATTGTTTTCGACAAAGTATCATTGGCCGATTTCAGCAGATTTAAAACTGCCTCTCGCGATTCCGACATCATTTGCTCGATACCATTTGATAATTCCGTAGCGTTTATTGCTGCGTCATGAGCATTTATTGCAGCTTTGCGAGCAGCTTCAATAGCTGTTCCTATATTTCTGTAAGCTGAAACAGCTTTCACGGCATTCGTATTCCTTGTGTCGGTCAGAAGATTATCCAAATCTAAAGATCGATTATAAAGATGTTCAGCATGGTCCTGTGCATCTCGAACTGGAATTACCAATCCTATTAATAATTGATCGTTTTCTGTAATTGTTTTATTTAATGTATCTATAGAATCATCTATTATATTATTTTTCAATATATCTATGTTGTAATTCGCTTCGTCGAGATATTGGCTCGCATTTCTATTTAATTCTTCTCCAGCCATTAAATCTTCCGCAGCCTCCGCAGTAGAATTTTTCACAACATCGAAATTTCCAGTCTCAGCTGCGATTCTGTTCTCTTGATTCAATCTGTCGACCGTGCTAGCCAACTCTTGAGCTTTCCAAATAATTTCGAGAAGATCGTCCAGTTTGTCAGTCACGTTCCTGATTTTGTTACTAAGATTATCAGCGATAAATGATAAATTATTGACTGGTATATTGTAATCGAGCATTTCTGACAGAAGAATATTAGATTCCTGAGCTTGATCTGTTGCACGATCTCGAAAATTGACGAATGATACTTCTTTGATTCTTTTCAGAATGTCTGTTGCTTCTTTCAAAGCGCTATCTACCTTAGCACCAGTACCCAGTTCAATATTCAAAGCTAAAGATTCTACTTCAGAAACAGTCGATTTAACTAAATTTATTTCTCTGATCACATCTTGTTCCAGCAAATTCATATTCTCCAAAGTATTTTCTGCGGCGAGTTTCCATCTTACACTGTCTTCTGCAGTATAATCAATTTCGCGTTTCTGATTCGAAACTTCTAACTCTAACTTACTAACCTCTTGTTGCAAAGGCAAAAAGTTCACTCTATTAGGATCTAAAAGTTTCACCTTGGGATATAAATCATTCACCGAATCATTAATAAATTTCAATCTCTGATTAGTGAAGTAACTCTCGGCCACATTGTTAAACTCTTTAAAAATAGGATTTAACATATTTAATAGTTCATCCGTGACGTCTAATAAGTTTCCAGTGCAAGAGTCACAAGCAAAGCAACCTTGACCTGGAATTAACACATTTCTATACGGACAGTGATCACACTTTTCTCCAATAACTCCTGGCAAGCAACTACATTGACCAGTAGTGGTATTACATGATACCCCAACAGAATATCCAATATTACATTCACAAGATGTACACCCATCTACTCCGTAATTCCAATAACCTGAAATTAAAGATCATATTTTTAAATATAATATTAAAGGTACGCGTGTATATATATATATAAGTACATACGATTTATAATAGATCGTAATCATAAATCTGAAATTCTAAATTTTAAACAAATTATAAATTTATAATGTATTTATAATTATAATTATATATTTATAATTAATCATAAACAAAATTGTGAAATTTAATCATTAAAAAAAGAACCAGTTTTTCAAGTTTGTAAAAGGCGTAATTTTTAGTTCGTTTATTTTATGTTATTTTTATTAATTCCAAATCATCAAGATCATTCGTGTTTAATATGTGTTCATATTTTAAAATTCTTTTTGAATTTTTGTTTTGAAATAATTTCGTTGATCAATCAAACAATTGCAATTATAGAGGCTTATAACGATTTTTCGTAGCTTGCCTTGTTTGATCTAATCTTTGTTCAATCGAAGATTTAAGATTTAAGATTTAAGATTTTCTTAAAACCGACTTATAAGATTATTATAAATAATATATCTATCTATTTTAATCTGTCTATATAATTTTTAATATAAATAATTAATTTAATTTAATATTTAATTATTTTAATATTTAATATTTAATTATTTAATATTTAATTAATTTAATATAATAAATAATTTAATATAATATAATAAATATCGAAATATAGATTCATGAATTATGAATATTTATATTTTATTTCGTGTTATTATATATATAGAGTGTTAATATATTTATGTATATAAATTCTGTACTATAAATAAATCTTTGCAAAAATTCTAAAAATCAAAAAATAAATATAAAAATTTATGTAAAAATGTCGATTGAAGTTTATTTTTAAGTTATAAGTTTATTATTAAGTTTTATATTTAAATTTGCATTTTTTAAATAAAACAAAACAAAAAAGACAATTTTATCTTCTTTACATTATTGTATCTATCTTCATCTCGCTTTATCGAACTCAAATATAAATTATATAACTTAATAATTAAGTCTTAAGTAACTTTTACATTTATTTTGACTTCCAAAGATCTTATAATTATATTAATATATTCTTTAATAAAATATCCGAATATTTAACAATGACAAACAATATAATTCTGTTCTTTTTATAATAAAATTTCATTATTATTTTTATTCTAAACAATAATTATATATAGACAGTATACATATCAATTTCAATAATTACAATATTTCAACAATTCCGAGCCATCAGTTAAAAATCGATTCTACATTCAAATCTTGAACTAACATTTAAGCGAATTTCATTCAAATATATCAAATTATTTTGATATATTTTTCATTCTTAGTTTTTTATTCGGATATTTTTTTTATATATAAATGTACATATAAAATAAAACATGAATATGTTAATGTATATATATACATACGTAAATTTTAATACGAGAAAAAAATATAATTATATATATACATATATAAATGAATATTATTCGTTATAAAAACTCATTTAAAGTTTATTTTTAATACAAAAATTATTTTGTTTTTTTAATTAATTATTTTATCTTCTGATAATATTTAATAAGTAAAATTTAAAAATTTAAAATTCTAATGTCAGAAAATCTTTATATCATATAAAATTATGGGTATATTCAAACTTGCATATTTTATCATTTACTTTAATGTCATATTGATATTTAGCATATATAGTTATATTTATTTAGTTATATTTATAACGAAATGAATCAATATGTGAAACGAGGTTCAATAGCGATTATTTAATGCTATTGAATTTTTATAATTCTTGAAAATAGAATCTCGAAATGAGTTGAGAAAGATAAACTGTTAAATAAAATTTGATACTAATTCTTTATTTCTTAATTCATTCTTGTTTTTTCTCTTTTTCTCGTTTTTTTTTTTGAATTTGGAAAAATTGTCTGTTAATAAGCATTCAGATTTAATCTCATGAACATTTTAATAAAAAATGGATTGGACTATTGTTCATAAATTATAATGATGGCAAGGAATAAATTATCTACGCTGACTTATTAATAGAATTACATAATTTTTTAATTTCTATTTGAAATCTCTAGATATATTATCAATTAAATTTTTATTTTTTCAATCATCTTGAATATAAAATCTCTCTAGTTTTATCAATTCTATTCCTTTAATGGAAAAAGTTAATATAAATATAGATCAATATTAGATTACAAATCTTGTAATCTGGCTCAAAATAAGCAACTCGCTATTCCTTTTTTTTTTATTTAAAATTGTTCACAAAGAGATCCGAAAACGAATGATAAATCCATAAAGACAAGAAATCATAAATCAGTTCGGAATCACTTGACTGAATGAATCAAAGATATCATCATATTCTTTTTCAAAGATATATAATGATTTTCTGATTAAAATTTACATTTTTGGATTCTACTCATCAAATACAATCAGAAGCACATAAAAATAAATATAAAATTTTGCTTTGTCTAGAACGAAATTTAATCGTGAAATAAAGATTTTTACCTGCAATACATTGATCACATCTGCGTCCAGTGACACCAGGTTTGCACAAGCACTGGCCAGTCATGTCATCGCACTGACTACTTTCCGAAGCGATTCCACAATCACACGCTTTACAACCGTCGCACGTATCATAACCATAGTAATTATCTGCGCAACGGTCGCATTGTTCTCCAATCACGTTCTCGCGACAGAAGCATTGGCCCGTGTAACTGTCACAATGTTCCATTCCACATTCTTTGCACAGACAGTTGCGACAATCTTTCCTCTCGATAGCGTCACCGAAAAATCCTGGTGCGCAAAGATTACAAGCTTCGCCATAAGTGTTGTTTAAGCAACGTAAACACTCTCCTGTTCTGGAATCACAGGAGCCGATTTGATTGGTATCGATATTGCCGGAACATTCGCAGGGTTTACAATATTCGCCATAAGTTTCAGGATTTCCATAGTAACCGGAAGCGCAGGATTCACAGCGAGCGCCATAATAGCCAGGAAGGCAGTCGCAGCTTATTTTGTTTCCTTCTTCATTCACTTGGCAACCAGTGGCGAAATTATTGGATGGAACAGGCAAAGGACAAGCGCAAATGAGACAATCAGTGGGAGTTCCTCCGGTAGCATTTCCGTAATAACCTTGTTCGCAGAATTCACAATGATCACCCATTGTACCGTCTTTGCAATCCTGTAATAAAAAAATTACATATATATTTCTAATGTGAATTTTATCTATTAGGGTGTCTCATAAATTTCTTTCGCATCACGCTAGGACTGACTTTAATTGATTATTTTTATATGAACATGCAGCTTTATCTATTAACCATTTATGGCATCGGTTTCAGTCATCTCAGAACTCTTTTAAAGTAATTTCGTTGGTAATATGAATAGCCAAAGGAAGCATTTAGGGCATGTTGTGTTTTATTGCTTTAAAAAAGATGATAGTACAAATGATACTACAGACGAATTTTATACTGTTTACGGAAGTGGTGCTATTATCTGCAATTGATTTAAGAGATTTAGAGCTGGCAATTTTGATTTGAAAGATGAAGGCCGCAGCGGCTGCCCAACATTGACGAATACGGACCTTATCAAGGCTTATGTTTGCTGAAAATCCGCAATATAATATGCGCAAGATAGTGAATGCTATTAACATTCCCAAGACAACAGTACATAATCACCTGATCAGGATGGGATATGTCGATCGATGTGAAGTTTGGATTCCACAGCTATTGACGGAGACTGACTTTATGAACCGCGTCTCTACGTACGATTTCCTTCTCTAGCGACATGAAAGAGATCTTTTTTTAAAAAAGTTTGTCACTGGAAACGAGATTTGGATTTTATATCAAAATATGCATCGAAAACGTACTTGATTTAAGGACAATAAACCTTCAATTGTCGCGAAGACTTCACTCGAAGAAAGTTCTTTTATCCATTTGATGGGATTAGAAAGGTATATTCCACATGAGCTCCTTTCTCAAGGTAAAACCATTAATTTTTATAAATATTGCGATCAACTTGATAAATTGAAACATGCCATAGCAGAAAAACAGCCAAAATTGGCGAATCGACGAGGCCATCATCGATAATGCAAAACCGCATGTTGCACATTGACTGTAAGAAAAAAACTATTACAGTTTGATTGGGACGTTCTACATATCTTCTGTATTTCCCAAATCTTACTCTATCCGACTATTACTTGTTCCTATTATTAAAAAATTCTCTCCATGATAAACGATTCAAATCCAAATAAGCGAAATAAAAACGCATCTCGAAAAATATTTTGCAAATAAATCCCAATTGGAAAAAATGAGGTTTTTTGACAGATGGAAGAAGGTGATAGAGCAGAACGGTTCATATATAACGCAATAAAATATCGCAACAAATATCGTGTATTCATTTCGTATTAAAGAAAAAGAAAGAAACTTATAGGATACCCTAATATAATACATATAAAATTGCATAAGTACCGATAGTTTTTTTGCGAATAATGAAAAGAAAAAAGTTGTTTATAGTGATATCCAAATAACAAGAAATCGAATCAATAAGTTCATTGAATTAACTTACCAAACATATGCCAGTATTCACATCACACGTATCCGCATGTCCGTTACACTCACAACGAACACAGTATCCCCCATGAGGTCCAGATTGTACCCTGTAATATCCCGAAGCACATTCTTCGCATGAAAGTCCTTGATAATTAGGTGGGCATTGACATTGTTCAACACTACTTGCTGGAAGGTATTGAGGCGAATAAATCTCCGTAGTTACATCTAAAGTCATGTACGATAAAGAAGCTCTTATACTAGGATTCCAGTATGTAGCTCGAATAAATATTCCTTGAAGATCTTCGAGAACCACCATCAATTGTTCCCTTGTGGCGCTAAGGCGATTATGGGTCACAAAGTTCATCTCGATTAATTCCAAAGATGCTTGAAAGTTCGTGAATGACGGTGGTTGTTCTTCAGCGTAGTAAAGTAAAATTGTGTCGGCACTTTGAAGAATTATATCAGCAGCACTAATAGCGTTACCGAATGGTCCAGTACTGTAATAAACAGTATAATTCAAAAATCCTCCATACGAAGTTAACTTCTTTCCTAAATAGATTTCTGGTGCTGAGAAGTAAATAACGTTTCCATAAGTGTCATTAGTGGTGAGATCAATTGCGATACTCGTTGAATTGAATTCATGTGGGATTGTTAGCAAATACGTCATATTTCCACCTTTCTCATTGAATAGAGCTAATTCCCAGTTAACCATATCAGATATTTGGGTTCTATACAAATTTGACGACACGCATCTACTAGTTTTTCCAAAACAGAAACATTTGGTACAACCTTCTTCGTTGTTTTCTTGAATATTGAATGTACCTTCCTTGCATACATCACAAGCTAATCCCTGAATATTTTCCTTACAGTAGCATTCCGCGGTATATTGGTCGCATATCTCTTCAGTAGTTCCTCTAATGTCACAATCGCATTTTTCGCAATGCGGGAATTGGGAATAGCCAGGCTGACATTTGTCACACTGTCTACCAACCACGTTCTCTTTGCATCTGCAGCTACCATTAAAGAAATCACATTGCAGATCCCCGTCGATTACACCCAGAGGAGAACAATTGCACTCTTCGCAGCCAAGAATTGGATGAAATCCGTAAGTACCCACTTCACATTGATCGCAACGTTTACCAGTGACTCTTGGTGGACAGATACAAGCACCTGTTTTTGGTTCACATAAAGCTGTGCTGGGACAATTGCATGGTTCACAATTAGGAAAACCGTAGAATCCCATTTTACAGATTTCACATCGTCTTCCAATGATGTTTGGTTTGCAAAGACATTGCCCCCCGAATTTTTCACACTCAAAGCTTATAGCACCATTGATATCACAATTACACGGCAAAGCACGGTTATTGTAATTTGCTGTCAAAGAGAAAATGGAATCACGACAGAAACCTTCTTCGGTGATATTTATATGGAAATGATTGTAGCCGCATTTTTTAATAAACTCTTTTGTCTGATCGAATTGAATCTTTTTTAATATTTTTTCATTGTATTGTTCAGCTGGAATAACTAAGATATAATCCAACCATATTCCATTGCCGTCACTTTCCTTGAAGGTTATCATAAAGTTCTCGATTAATTGAAATTTAATATTGTTGTCCATTTGTCTCACTATGCTACGACATCCGCTGTTACTGGGACAATGGGGAACGGACATTTTTGCTTCGTAAAATTTACCATTTTGTACTAATACATCGAGCTCATATTCTGGATAATCTGGTTGATAATATTGCACAATGAATATATAATCTCCAGGTTGTAAGACTTTTCCATGAATATCTACAGTTGTGTTTTCACTATCCAAATAGATTAATTTGGTAGTATTATCATAAATGCCAAAAGGCCTTTTTTCAGATTCGAAAATTGTGCTGCTAGTTTCGAATTCGATTTTCTTAGCATCTGCTGCTCCTGGAAATTGGCCTTTTACACATTTTCCATTTTTTCTAACACATATTGATTTCGGTTTAACATAATCCAAAGACCATTTATTGTAAGGAATAGCAATAATAGAATCAATGGCAACATTCGAAGTAGGTTCTCCAGTTAAAATTAAGCTAACATAGTTCGAAGGGAAATTCATTGTAGCTACTCTGCCATATGTGTCGGTCACTACTTGTCTACAGATACTAGTGTATTTGCAAGGATATAGAGTCACCTTTCCTTTACCAACAGTATTTGCCTCTATAAGAAGAGTTGATGTAGTATTCTCATATTTAGGAGTCACATAGGTAACCAGCAAAACATGTGGACCTGGTTTCGAGATTCTTAAATCAAAATGTATTTCTTCTTGTTTTTCATTAATTAATGGAACTTCATCTCTATCAATTTCATACAAAATGTCTCTATCTGTAAAATATTCACTCAAAGGGATTCTGACATTGTTTTCGTTCAAGAATCCGCCAGCTCCGTGAACAGAATCAAACATCATCAGATTAGGATAACCATAATGTCTACAGAGTTCTTTGTAACCAATCTCGCAAGGAATGTTCACATTTTGAGTCAGAATAGTTGCTTCATAGTATTCAGACGGAAGCAACACGAAATAATCGAGGAAAAGACTCTTCTTAGTAGCGATACTAATAGACCAATATCCTGGATTCATAACCATGGCCGAGGGAAGATTACCTTGAGGTCCCGCGACGGTTACAAAAGATGGCTTTACAGTTGGTTTGAAGTTAACTTTAAATTGTTGTTCCACTTCTGATGGGTTTTCTGGAGTTATAGTAATTGTACCAAGGATTGGTTCGTTATTTGGATTCACATATTTTAAGACCATTCTATAGAGAGAAGATTTCTGAATATAAACATTTAGAATAATCTGGTCCTGTAGATCAGAGAATACCGCATATCCCTTCCAACTAAATCCTGGAAAGAGATCTTCGGTGAAACCGTAACGAACGGGGCTATTGCTGGGCATTCTTCCATCTTCTGCTTCATATTGAAACTGGTGAAGTGTAGGAAAATAATGAGCTTTCAAAGGTTCTTTGCAGGTAAGACCCGTAACACGTGGTTGGCATTGACATTGACCAGTTTGTTTATTACATATCGGATTAACGGAACCACCGATGTCACAAGCACAGTCTAAGGATAAAAATTTATATAATTTGTATTTATCGAAATAATGGATATTTTTCCAATGTTTTTCCATAAATAATGGAAAGACATTGAAGACCGATTAACATGAAATTTAAAATGGACGAATCATGAAATATATAATTTTTTTTGTACTATTTTATTGGAAGATTATATTTTATTTTATTTATAATATAAATATAATATTTTATATTTTATATTTATTTTATATTATAATTAAGTTAAAATAATTTTGAAGAAACAAAATTTATTTTATTTTTGTGTCTTTTGATGGTATTTAACAAATAGAATTCAAAAATATAAATTCCTATCAAGTCAAATCACATTATTATAAATGTTTAAACATAATTTAATATTAATTTTCTTTTTATAACTTCTTTCTGCTTATTATCTTTTCTAAATTTCATATCGATCAATCACCGATGCCATTCAAAGTATACAATAATATAAAATAATTTTCATCAATATAAAAATACATATAAAAATTACATACCTGTACAACCGAAGAAATTGCTTTCTTGAAGATTGTATGTACCATCTACGCACTGATTGCAACTTCTGTCGGTTACTCCTGGTTTACAGATACATTGACCAGATTTTGTATCGCATTCACCAATATTTCCAATGACACCAGGTATATTACATTGACATTCTTAAAACGAAATAAAAAAAAAAAGGATACGGTTATTTATTGCATTATTTATTCTGTAAAACTTAATTTTACTTACCTTCACAACCTTGAGGATTATAAGGTTGCAAATTCCAATAGAGCGGCTTACACTCGTTACAAATCCTGCCTTCGACACGATCTTTACATTGACAAAGTTCACCAGCAGGCAAAGAGCCACATCCTTGAAAAGTTTCTACAATACCTGCCGGGTCACAATTACAACCTTCGCAAGTGGGGAAATTATAAAAGCCTTCTTTACATTGGTTGCACCTAGTACCATCGAAATTTTCTCGACATTGGCATTTAGCCTCTGTATCACAAGATGCACCAATCGAACCATGGCTGTCACAATTGCAGGCTAAATAATTAGAATAGAATTATCAGTTTTAGAAATTTTTTTATAAAATTATTTAATTATTTGAAATTGTTTAATTAATATTTTTTGTCGTACAGTAAAAATTAATATTCTATGAAAGATAAAAATATTTAATACAAATATTTTAAAGCTAAATTAATCGATGTTCAAAATGTTTAAAATTTCAAAAAATATTTTAAATTAAATAAATTTAAATAAACAATAGATTTATATTGAAAAAATAATTTCGAACAATTTAACTTAAGAATGATACTTTATATGTATTATTATTAAAAAAAATTAATATGATATGAATCATATTAATTAAAATCAACATACTTTAAACAATTAAAACTCTTAAACTTATTATTATTATAAATGGAGAATAAATTTTCAGATAAAAGACTAATTTATAATTAAATATATGAATAAATATATAAAGATTAAAATACATGAGAAATCAAAAAAATAGAACAGTAATTGCTTGGAATAGCAATTAATTTAAAATATTGAAATCCAATCTTAATTTTAATTATTTTAAATTAAATATTTTTTGTAGATAAGTTGGAATTATTTTCCTAATACTATCGAAACAAATTAGTGAAATTATAACTTTTTACATTTAAATCAAATAGAAATAGATAATAAATATAAATTTTATATACCTATACATTCAGGATACATGTAATATCCTGGACTGCATTGATCGCATGTTCTTCCAGCGAAATTAACCAGACAAGAACATTTTCCTATGGTATCACAACTAATAGAAGATGATCCTATTGAACTGCAGTTACATGGTCTACAATTCGGATATCCATAATAACCACTGATGCATTGATCGCATCTAGGACCGCCATATCCCTTTTTGCATAAACAGGTTCCATTTGATTTATCACAAATTTCTGCCTCGGTTCCACGTGAATCACAGTTACAGACTATTAAATTGTTATCGATGTATAATTAATTCGTTTTAAAATAAAAATATTAAACATTAATATAACGATTCACTAAATACTTACATGTACAGAAAGGATAATTGTAATAGCCATCTTCACAAATATCGCATGTTCTTCCACCGTAGTTGTTCTTGCAAGTGCAATTACCCGAAATTACATCACATTCAGCGTTATGGGAGCCCAAAGGATTACATTCACAAGCTGCATATTGTAAAAACAAATAATTATAAAATTGTTAAATTGTAAAATTGACTAAAGACTGAAATATTTTTGAAACTGTCGATTATATTGAAAAATGTTTGAGACAAAAGTTAAATAATTTCGAAATTTAATTATTCGTTACGTTTAAAATTTTTTTAATATATAAGAAAAATCAATATTCAAAGATCAATTTTTCTTAAATAGAATATATTTTTGAACATATTAATCGATATTATTTCTAAAAAAAATATCTAAATTGTAACAAAAAATTATTAATTTGAAAGATATTTTAATTTGAATTTTATAAAATTTATCATATGAAAAATAAAAAACGAGAAACAATTTTCTTTTCATATTTTCCTTATTTTTCTATAAGCATGTGAAATAATAATTTTTTTTTCATGTTTTTCTTATCTTTTATATAAATTTTATAGAATTAAAAATTTTATAAAATATTTATTAAACTAATAATATTTTAATAATATATAATGTAATAGTTTTTTTATAGAAAAAAACAATTTATATTTTTTGATATATTAAAAAAATACATAATTTTATTTAAAAAAAATAAATTTGATTTTTATGATATTCTTTATGCATATATATTATATATTATATATATTATAAAAATTTTTAAATACATTAAATAATACTAAATCGAAGTTATTAAACTTTAATGTAAAATATATATAATAATTCCATATAACATAATAAGTTTCAAAAATACTATAATTTTCAATCTTAACTCAATTTAATTTTTCTTTACTAACGTAAACATTCAGGGAATTTGTAATAGCCTTGCGCGCAGAGATTGCAGAAATGGCCAGCGTAATTCAATTTACACGGACAAGATCCATCTATGGCTTCGCAATGATCTCCATCGGTTCCATTACTAAAACATTGGCATGGAACGCAGTTTGGATAACCATAATGTCCAAAGCTGCAACTGTCGCAATTAGGTGAAGTATATTCTTTTCGACACTCGCATTTACCGGTGATATCCGCGCAATTTCCAGTTAAATTGGGTGCATTACATTGACATGCTATTAAAAATTAATAATATAAAAAATATATGATTTATTAAAATTGTATTAAAATCCATTGTTTTAACAGATCAATGACTTACGTTGACAAACATCAGTTGCGTTCAAAGGTTTATCACCCGGTCTATAAAACGTTGGTTTGCAACGATTACAATTGATTCCTTCAGTGTTGTCCCGACAATTCTTACATATACCGCCACCCTCATAGTTATCGTGAATATCTAAAGACAAGTGTTTCTCGTCCACTTCTGGATCATACTCACACTCATCGGAATGACCAAAACAATTGCAAGCTAAAAAAGTATGAATTTTAGATTATATTAAATTAAATTGTCAAAATTTTGTAGAGATTTTTCAGATTTATTTTTGAAAAATGATTATTATTCAATTATTCATAACTCATTCGTCAGTGCTTATTTAAAAAAGAAGAGAAACTTGAAAATAAAAAAAAATATGAACTTGAAATTAAAAAATAATAAATATTGATTTAAATTTTTTATTTTTCTCTTTTTTATTTTTATTAATAAATTTAATATTAATATGATCTATTTTGGAAATCTTTCAGTTTTAAAAATAATTATTTATTTTATTTTATTATTTATTTTATTTTATTTATTTATTTTTTTTTTGAGATAATTTAACAAATGCTCAGTTTGATTTATATTTTATTAATATTAAAACATTTTTTTTATCTATCATTAATAAAATTATTAAATTAATAACTTGATTTATAAATATACATTTTTAATAATGTTATTCTAACTATTTTTCATCATAAAATATGCATTTTATATTTATTTTTTTCTTTTATTTTATTTTAAATATTTGATTTTATGGACGCAACATCAGTAACTATGTGATAAACTTAAATATCACTTCTAGAATTAGTTATAAGAATCTTAAGATCAAAATTCTTTATAAAAGATAAAATTTACTAATTAATCACGTGATATAATTAATCATTTTATAATTATACATGAAATAAAATAATTAGATAACTTGATTTTTCATAAAAAAATCACTTTTTTGAATAATATTTAAAACTTATTTTAAATATTTTATAAATAAATCAAAATTCCAAGTGAAAATTATCATAGTGAAAATTCCAAGAAAATAAAACTTTGATATTAGGATCCTCCATACATAAAATATATAAAATTTTATAAATGATAAAATATTAAAATGTGATTTGCTATTCTCGAAAAATAAAATTATGAAAGCTTTAAAAAAATATAAGAGATTTGTACAATAAAGAAACAAAAAAATTTTTAGAACAAATTAATGTAAATGATTAAACAAAATTGTATGAAAAAGATGAAAATTATTCTTACGTTCGCATATGAACTTCTTAAATGCTGTAGACTGTCGCCACTTCTTTTGTTCAAACCCTTTGCAACAAGTCGCACATTGGGGTCCACAGGTATTATGTTGGCATCTGCAAAACAGTTTCTTCGGCATCTTTGGATCCAATATGTCACAAGTATCCGCGTGGCCATTACACATACATCGACCACCAATACTGATATCTTTGATGGAATAAAAATACTAAAATACAATAATTCAATTGTTATCTTTTATTTATTATTTTGATTTGTATTAAGAAAAATGACATATCTTATTTTTTTTTAAGAAAAGTATATTATTTCGATTATTTAAAAAGACGTTTCATTTTTTAGATAATTATAGTAATGTCCAGTTTTATCGCACTTTTTGTTTACTTAAGTATTACAAATTATCTTCAATATTCCATAATTCTTAAAATTGGAACTCTAGTTAAGGCATCCATATACTTTTGAAACTTAAAATACATATCGTAAAATAAAACACGAACAATTTCTAGATAACAATTGACATATCGATTTTGATTGTGTGATAGTTAACTGGGCACTATTATATAGATTTTTATTCTATAAGCAGCTACATTAATATATTATTTTAATATATTATGATGCATTTTATTATATAATTAAAAATTCATGAAAAAATAAAACACAAAATTTCATTTTAAATTTTAGTTTATCTTTTATTGAATTGTTGGTTAAATTAGATTAAAATATAAGTGCCTAAAACAGAAAAATTTATTCCTAACTATTTAGAGATCGAGAATTCCATTTTTTATTTTTTTTCGTATATAGTATAAAAGAATCTGTATATTTTTTATTTTATATTTTATTTACATAGCATAAAAAATGTATATATAGTATGTATATATAGATTAAATGATTGTATACTGATGCATATGCTATCATGATCGGACATATAGAAGTAGAATGTATAGTCGGTTTTTTGTGAATATAGTTTTTCTAACTAATTAAATCCAAAAGTGGATTTGGAGTATGTAAAGTATTTGGAATTTCAAAAGAAATTTATTTAATTCAAAAATTCTGATTCCAATGAAAATTTGTATGTAAAATATAATACATATATTATTATAATACATAAAGCAATTTCATTACCAATTAAAGATCTGTTTAAGAAAGTTAAATTAAAAGAGGGAAATTAAATTCCCAAAATTTTCAAAATTTTTTTAATTTTTGATATTAATTTCATTTGGAAATTTTTTTTTACAAGATAATAGAACATTAAGATCAGAAATCATTTTGTAATGTAAAATTTTGTTATCTCGAATTAATACAGAGTTATATTTAAAAAAAGTGAAAAACGCATTGAAACCCATTGATTTTTTTAAGTAATGTTCGAAAAGAAAATTGTTTCATATATGTATAACTTATTATATATTCAATTTGATTAAAAAAAAAAAAATATTTTTTAATTTGTTAATTTTTCAAGAAAATTTTTTATTTTTAATAAAAGTAAATATGTAAAATATAATTATTTATAAAATTAATTTTTTTAACCAAATATTATTTTAAAAAGATAAAATCAATGCGCAAAATTTCAATGCTTTTTTGTAATGTAACTTTATAATTCCGAACAAAATTTTAAATTATAAAATATTTTAATTTCAATATTCTATCTTGTTGCAAAAAATTTTTAAATGAAATTATATTAAAAATTGAAAAAATATTAAAAAAGTTTGGAAGTTGATTTAACTTCCTTAAAAAAATTTTCCATAGATAAAAATATTTCTCTATATATAATTTATTACTTAACTTTATATATAATTTTTAATCAAATTTTAATTTTAATTTTAATTTTAATCAAATCAGAATTTCTGAATCAGATGATTTTCTATAAAATAGTATAAAAAATTTTTATACTATAAAATAGTATAAAAAAAAAATAGTATCTATATAATATAGATTATATAATATTTTTGTGAATTAATATATAGAAAAAATTGTTCGAAATGTTTTGTTTCAGATCAAATTAGAACTAAATAATTAACGAATAGAAAAAGTTTCTATTTTGCCATAAAAAGTAATTGATTTCATGACAGAAGAAATCATATTTAAATGTTCACAATAAAAATTTACACATTATATTAAATTTATAACTAAGAAACTGATCTACAACGTAACTGCAAAAGATTCATCTTTATTATCCCGAGAGGGGATCCCATTACTATGTCATGAAACTCGACATGAGCAACGTAATCCCGATTTGAGATTGAATTTCCGTGAGACAAATTAAAGCAATGGTAAAATTCTTTCATTTTTTTACTTTCTTTTCAATAAAACTTTTATCAATATATTTGTAAAATTTTTCCGAATAAAATAAGATCAAAAATAATATATTTTTCTTATTTTCTTTCTATTTATTTATTTTTTTTATTTAATAAATTAATAAAAAAAAGAATTATTATCAATAATCAAATACATAAATATGGCTTAAATTATTGGTCGGAATTTTATTTTTAATTTTATTAGTCATTGTTAATTTTATTAATCATCTACTTTTTGTAATTGTGCGGGCGTAATTCATGAGCGAAATTTTGATGTTGCTAATAATATAAATATAAATAAATGTAATTTAAAAAATTATTTTTTATTTCATTTCACTATTTCAAATTGAGGATTTTGTAGTAAAAGAGGTGCAAATTTGTTTTTGACAGATTTTTACACAAAATAATAATAAGAATAAATATTTTTTTTTGAAGCAACTACGAGGAAACTTTTTGATATTCCATGTTTCTTAAAAAAGTTGTCGAATGTTTCTCCAGATTTTTTTCGCCAGTAATAAATATCGCTATTTGTTATCAATTTTCATTTAAAAAGGTAAAGATCAAAGAAAAATAGAAAACAACAGAAAAAATGGTCCTTCAATATATATATAAATATATATATATATATATATATATATTTTTATGATTGACATCAATGCAATTTTTTTAAAATATCTGTTGAAGAAATATATTAATTATAAAAGAATGTGATGTACGTAACAAATCGCATAATAGATATAAAATAACTATATAACTTTTTAATAATATTATTAACATAAAAAATGAAAGATGATATCGAAGTGATCAATAATCGCGGATCAATTCTTAAGAGACAGAACAGAAAAGAAAGAAAAGATTAACAAACAAATTGATTATGAAATTGCGATCTCGAACTGTATAAGATGTCGAAGAAGAAATTTTGGAGAATTTTTTATTTTTATTTAAGACAAAAAGAGGATGAAAAAATATAATGAATGAAAAAATCTCTGTAGGCGTTTGTTATAACTTGTAGCAACAGATAACAAAAAGTTTTTTAATGTTATTTTAATAACAATTAGTTTCATATAATTGTACATAGCTTAATATATATAAAAAAAAATTTGTATCGTTTGATATAAGCTTAATATAAGATAAAAAATTATTGCAGATTGTGAATCTATTCTTATTATTATTTTATATAAATTTGTTATATATTATATAATAAAATTTTATATATATTTTTATAAAAATTTTATATAAATTTATACTAATTGAAATAAAATCATATCAATTCAATAACTATGAAAATTTATATTTTTTAAATTAATTTTCTTTTTAATGTTAAAAAAATTGTATAAGAAATTTTTTAATTTCTCTAATATTCTATTTCTCTAATAATCCATTTTTATGTTGATAAAATTGGATTTGGAACTTCTTATTGAGGAATTCTCAATTTTTAGTATTTAAAAATAATATTTATAAGTTGACCCATTTCAATCTCATGATTAGGATGAAAGATATACATATTATTTACTTTAATAAAAAAAATTTATAAATATATTAATAAAAAAAATTAATTAAAATACCCCAAAAATAAAAAAATTTTTTAAAAATTATATTTATTACCGATGTTTTTTCTAGTATCTTGGCTTTTTATCTTTTTTTTCTTTCATTTGCAAAAAATGTAAACAAACAAGTTTCAATCGAGAAATAAGAAATATATTAAAAATAAGAATCGATATTTCTGTTGAATAAATGCAAAATTTTGGTCCTAAATTATTTATAGATATAAAATATTTTCTGTATATAGAATATTTCGACAAAATAAATAAAAAATTTAAAAAATAATTCTAGAAGCTAAAATCAATTTAAGTTGGTATGCAAAAATATCTGTTATAGTTTATTAAATTACGAATGATTTAACTAAATAAAATAAGATAGAAATGTGACGAAAAAAATAGAATCAACACATTTTACTTCTGTGTCGATTTATTTCATTTAGTAAAATTATATTGCTTATAGATTCAAAAGTAGACTTTAAGTATTTTTACATATTAATTTTTATATTTGTTAAAAACTAGAATCTCTCTTAAATTTTACATTTACTTCATCGTATTATAATCCTTATTATCAAATTTCATCATTAAATTCCTATATAATTTTTTGATAATTAAATAATTCAAAATAGAGAGATCGTCATCGATTCAATGATTTCAATGATTTCAATGATTTCAATGATTTTTAAATATATTGATAAAATTGATATTTTGAATAATTGATATTTTTCCTTTACAAAAAAAAAAAATATTTGCGAAAAAAAAGAAATATTTGCAAAAAAAGCATTATTATTCCATAGAATTTTTCTTATACATATATAAGAAGTGGCTACATGTACATAAATATCTTTTCTGTTAATGTAAAAAACATAATGTAAAAAAAACGCAATTAAGAATGTAATAGATAAAAATGAATAAACTAGTCAAAAATCTTTTAAATCTAATATTAGGATGCTTCGAAAATTACAACAAATATTAGAATATAATGAATATAATATTATTTTTTATATCTTATAATTTATTTTATTATATCTATCGTTGCAATTTAGATCATTATAATTTGCTAGTTGTCTTATATTTTATTTTTGCTTATTTTTAATTTATGGAATAATCAAATTCAATAAATTTGAAACAATTAAAATCTATTATAATCCATAAGAAAGTAGTTTTTTGACGACATATTCTGTTATTAATTATTATAAATTATTCTATCTATTCTAAACTGCTTGCTGCGATATGTTTATAAGAACAATAAATAAATAATAATTGCAACATGAAGTTATGAATGTATATATATATATATAAATTTCTATGAAATTTTTTTTTACAAATATCTATGAACAAAAGTTAAACAATGCGGAAGAAAAAAATTGTCAAAAATCTTATCTTCTATAATATATCTAAAAATCATCAAAATCGACGAAGATTTTTCTATTTCAAATAATTACAATTTTTTTTTTGTTTTTATAAATAAAATATGATATTATAATATGATATATGATAATGCTATATGATAAATTATTCAAATGTATAGGTTTTCATTTCAGCAAATAATCGAAATATGTTTTTTTCGTAGCTTATCAATATATATATTATTTTTTATTTCTATAAGTTATTTTTTATTAGAAATTATTGTAAAATATTAGTTTTCGTGGCGAAAGACAAAAATATAATTCATTTAAATCTACTTTTCTTCATAAAATAACGAAACGCGATATTTTGAATCGAAAATAAATATGTTCTTTCTCTTTTTTAAAACAAAAAAAAAAATACTGGTTCGAACATAATGTGGATTTAATTATCACGGTAAAACTTGTCAAATTTTAAAGATACTTACTCTTCTGGTCACAGTAGGGTCTTCTCGCACTAACGACATTAAATGTCCCAATAAATTTTTCGTCCTCAAAAAACGAAAACGAACGTTCGTAGCTCGCGTCCATTCTTGTAGCAAAGTCGAATTGAAGTAATGTTGTGCGGATGGACGATTATTCAAAATTGAAATTGGTATTTCACCGCCCTCCAGTGGCACAATTTGAGAATATTCTGTCGTACAGATGACGCTATCGTCTCTGGTAATGGTTTTGTGACTATCCACACCGAAGTAGACTAAACAATCGTTAGCAGTGTCGGAAAAATATTGCCAAGCTGACCAGGTTTTTCCATAATCTATCGATTTTTCAAGAGCCCAAACACCAGGTCTTGGTGAATTTGCCATTTTTATGTAGACATATGCCACATGGAACTCCTACAAAAGCAAATTTTTTTTATTAAAATCTAAATCAATAAAGAATTGATAAATTTCTTGTCCAAAAGTTCTATTCATTTTTTTAATATTTTACTAGTATATACTACATTTTTCTAAAACTTTAATGATTTTCAAAATAGTAATTGAAATGAATTATATTTCCATTATCTATTTTTTCAAAATAACTTTAAATTATTTACAAAATATTTAAAGTTAATATTAGATTTTAATATCATTTAAAGAATATGTATTTTTTATGACTAATCATCAAATCATTTGATTATTTTATTTTAAATATAATTGTAATTATAGTTAGTTAAATAGTAATTATCTATATATCTAATCAATTTATAATTTTTTAATTTTATTTTGTAAAAATATTTTGCAAAAATTTACATAATATATGTACTTTTGAAAAACTAGAAGAAAACAAAATATTCTAATATTAATGAAAAATTAATTAAAAACTATCGTATATTTTTCAAATTATGATTTTTAAAACCAAACATGCAAAAAATTTTGAAATAATTTAATATATATAATATTTTATTTTCGAAAAATAATAATACAAAGATAATAACAAGTTAAATTAATGTAATGTGTTATACATTGCATGGAAAAAAATTAAATTCATTTCATAGAAAATACAATATTTTCATTAGAAAGATTTAAGAGAACTTAAGACGAGAAACAAAAACTGAGAAACATATGTTTGAAATTCTTTGGAATTTTTAAACATTACGTATGAATCTTCTCCCGAAACTTCTGAACACGTGGTCAAGAATGCATAAGATCATGTTAGCAAGATATAAATGAATTCTCTTTCTGAGAAGTTGTTTAGCGAAAAGCTCAATAACATCAGAACCGTAACAAGAATATTTAAAAGTCAACTGAGAAAAATAAATTTTTAAAAAATAAATAAATAAAAATAATAATAAAAAATAATAGAAAAATAATAAAAATAAATACTATTTAAAAAAAAAAATATAGAAGATTTTATGAATAAACTTTTCTTTGAAAAAATAATTAAAAAATAGTATTTCAAATGTTTTAATATCAATTCTTATTAAACTATTTTGAAATAAACATTTTAAAATATAAAAAAATAATAAATTCAAATAAAAACATTTTAAATAAGCAATTTTATTAATTTTAACATTATATAATATTGACATTAAAATAATGTATAATTATATAGTTTTAATCAATAAAATATTATGTTAATAATATATAAAAAACTATTTTCGATATTTAAGAAAATAAAAAAATGAATCTTATACGTTTTGTGTTTTATTATTTATTATATAAAAAATAAATATTTTATCGAATTAGAAAATAAATAAATAAATAAATATGTAAATAATTCGCTTATGACAAAAATTGAATGAAAAAATATTTGCTTAAGAAAATATTTCAATTTTCTATTTTTTTTAATATTATTTTTCCAAATTTTTTCTGCTTTTTATAATGCATTCATAGAAAAGTTAAAATTTTTTTCTTAAAATCATTTCTTCATGGCAAATTTCACTAATTTATCACAATTCAAATATTGGCTTTTCGATTATTTTAATTTTCAAATTTCAAAAATTAGATAAAAATTATAACATGTCAAATGTCGATTATATGGTGAATACGATCAACGAAAATGATAATGACTTTTCATGAATAATTACATGCAGCATTAGCAAAAATATGTTGCAATAAAATAGTAATTATATTGAAAAATAATGTAACTTTAAAAATAAAGAATAAATATTTCTTTTCATTGTTTTTTCATAAAGATGTGTCTCCTCATTCATTTTTTTATTTAATTGAAAACAAAACTTAGCTCATTTTTTTAAATTTAATCATTAATCATTATATAAATATAGATAGAAATATAATATTTTAATTTATAATAGAAAGATTTTTAACGACAATTGAAACTTAATAAAAATTACAATAATTTTTCATAATTATTGAAGTTCATTATTATTTTTTTTTTTGTTTATTGAACATTTCTATCGTATATCGTATAATAAGAAATTTTTGCATGTGCATGTTTTAATGAAATTTAATCTGTGATTTTCAATCAAAAAAAAAAAAAAAAAAAAAAAAATCAAAGAAAAAAAATCATTATATAATAACTATTTTAGAATATTAATAAGAATTAAATATATATATATATATATATCATGATTTTGATTGTATTTTAATGACAAGAAATTAAATGATGAAATGATATTATTATAAAATTTGAAATTTATTAATAAATTTATTAATAATACTAAAATGGTATTATTTATAAATATCAAAAAGAACAACAAAATTTGAAAAAAAAAAGCTTAAAAAATTAAAATTAAAATAAAGATAAAAGATATTCTTTTGAATTAGATAAAAGATATTCTTTAATCTAATTTAATTCTTGTTAATACTTATAATAATACTTATTATAAATTTATTATAATTATGTAAAATAAAATTTATATAATTCTGAAAAAATAAAATAAATTATGATTATATCGCTGTATTTGATATTAATACATTATTAAAATTTATTTATTAATATTTCTCGTTATAATTATACTTATTTTTTTTTAAACTGATTATCGTATTATTATTATTATTATTGGTGATATATTATTAGTGATCGAATCGATACTGATACGATAATGATAATATTCAAATTCGATATCAACTTAGATACATATTCAAAAGTAGATATTGATTTGCATTATTAAAATATTGAATAAATACTTCGTATTATTTTTCGATATTAATATTTCTTAAAACGATACTAACTTAATATTATATCTTCGTGAGATATCAGACAATGTTTGAGTAAAAATAATACTAGTTTGATATCATTCGATATTGAAAAATGCAACAATTTCAAATGTGCTAATTATGCAAATTTTTGTTTGATCAATTTTGTCTTAATTTAGAAAATGTACAAGAGTTAAATTTTTAAAGTTTTTAAGACAACATATTTACATTTATGCAACATATTTCTTATATAATTTTTTAGATTAAACTTTTCTTATTAGATAAAAAATGTAGAATAAAATGTAGATAAAAAATTCGTACAATGTTTTTTCAAAACACTATGACAATTTTTTTTATTGGAATTTGCATAACTAATATTCTCTACTATTAATTCAAATTTTATCATTATATTATTTGTGACTTATATAAAACGATAGTTTATATATTAATGGACCCTTATTTCTAGTTGAATAATAAAAAAAAATAAAAAAAATATATGATTCATAAATTTTTATATTTTAAAATATTATCAAAAGAATATAAATTTTAATACTTAATTCATAATTTTTACTGAATTTATAAATTCGTTATAAAAAATAAAAATTTTAAATTATTTTAGAAATTTATTACAATTTTCGATGCATTTCATTAAATATGTTTGATGAATATTTATGCATTTTATTTGACTTTTACAAGTTATATTTAGTTATAATATCTATCTAAAATAATAAATAATTTTTTTACAATATCAATAATTCATTTTAATTTTTTATTCTAATATTATTCTAATGTTAATTTTGAATTGAGTTTTAAAAAATCTATCAAGTATCTTTCAGATTTTGTATATTTAATTTAAGATATATTAAACTTTATAATAATATTCTTTAAAATAATGAATTTAAATGCACAAATCGAAAAAATTAATTAAAATCCAGGTCCAGTCCAGCATCCAGGTTTTAAGCGTAGTTTTTTAAGTTCCTATTTATGCTCTTGTGGAGTAATAAAATACTTACATATGTTACTTTAAACATTTTCTTATTTCCAATTATTTACATTCTACATCCCAAAACTTGTCTATTTTTTTCAATTTTAGAAGAGCAATTAAAAGCATATTTAAATTAATTTGTTAAATTATAATTTGTTAATTTTGTTAAATTCATTTCTTACAATATTTTGGGAAAAAGTTAATAATTTTTAAACTAATTCATTCTAAGATTCTTAACATTCTTTTTTAAATAAAATAAAAAGTTTTTTGCTAATTTTTTTTATTGTTCTATATATACAATTTTTGTATCGTAATTCACGGTTTTTTAAATCATCTCGTGAATATTGATTTCATAATAATATTTATATTTGTGAATTAATGATTCGTTTTTTTTTTTAAATCACACATATTATCAAAAATTAAAAATTAAGAAATAATATTATGTAAAGAACATATAAAATTATATAACATATTAATTCGATAATTTCTAAAATTATGAAATAAAATCCTTTTTTATTTGTAACGATGCCTAGAAACAAATATTTACTAAAATTGTGACGAATTATAAGTCATATAATCGTGAAATTTGAACTCATAATAAAAAATATGGTTCAATAGAAAAAATAATTAATATTAATATTTATTAATATGAATATTGGGAAACAAAAAATGTTTTATATTCGAATTTTTTTATATAGTTATTGTAAAACTCCTATAGATCGAAAAAAAAATAATATCTCCTAATATTAAATATTCGTATCCTTTTTTCTATTGGAATAAAAGTATATCTAAGTCATTGTAACATTTACCCCGCTCCCTAAAATCCATCTTTTCTAATGTCCTCCGGAAATGATGCGAAGATAATTCTTTCCCGCTTTACAGGAAAACGCCTACGAAACGATAAAATAATTTACAGATAAAATATTCATTCCACAAGCCCATTATTTCCTGCTGTCGTCAATCCTTTCACTTATTTTCTATTTACACTTAGTTTTGTTTCTCAATATATGATTATATATAATTGGTCAAATAAAAATAAAAAATAATATAATCGATAAGATATTATTAAATAAATTTGTGTCTAAATCAAAAATATTTTATTGTTTGTTTAACAATATGAGAAAAGAATGCTTTATTATAAATATTTACAACTTAATAATAAACTCAACACTTAAAACTATAGATGATTTTGCTACGGTTCTCGTAAAATTTGTATATTTTAAATTTTTTAAGTTTTTAATAACTTTTTCTAATTTTTAAATTTTTATATTTTTATTTTTCTCCTTGTTGTTTAACAAATAAAAATATTTGATATTTGATATAATAATAATGATATCTGACATAATAATAATGAATTGATAATGATTCTTTTATATTTATTTTGTATTTAGAAGAAGATATTTAATAATAGAAGAATGCACTTAAATCAAGTATGACACACAGTATATAATTGATTTATGTCATGGCAATAATTATTAGAATTGGAATATTTTATTACTGGGATATATCCATTATGTATAGCTTGTTCCATTTAATTATTTTGTATTGAAAAATTGGATAATACAAAAATGGAGAAATAAACACATATTTGAATTTTTTAATACAAAGATTTTATAATAAAAGAATATTTAAATTGTATGAAAGATAATAAAAGAACAATGAAATAATATTTACATTTCTTTACGATCATAAATTAAATTTTATAATGCAGATAATAATTATGATTTTAATATAATATTAATATTAATTATTAATATAAATAAAATCGTTTTTTATTTTTTAAGAAGATAATATTTTAATTTTATTATAAATCTACTTAATTCGTTAAGTATCAATAATATTCATTAAATAATAACAATAACATGCAACATATATAAATAAAATAATAATTATATTAAAATAAAAAATAATTATATCAAAATAAAAAAAATATATTAAATTAATATAGATTAATATAAATAAGTGTATAATGTAATATTATGTAATATTAAATTTAAAAAAAAAGCCTTAATTTAAAAAAAATAATTATAAATAATTTCATTTTTTTAAGATTTATAATTAAATGAAAAAAAAATCGTTATAAATATTGAATATTTATAATTTAAAAAATTTATAATTATATTAAAAAAACAAATTCACAAGTATTAGCATTAAATTTTAATAAATTTATGTTTCATTTCAATAAATTATATTAGTAAATGTTTGATTGTTGAATTGTCAGTATTCAATATTTTTATAAAGAAACATAATCTAATATTATCTTTTATCATTAAAAGCTATTGTCTCTATTTTCTTTATCATAATTATAATAATTTCATTTATTTTATCTTTTTAAAACATTATAAATTTGTATGTATTATATTAATTATATAATATAATTGATAAATTTTATTTAACTTACTTGCCCAAGATTGATTGTCAGATTTACTTCTTTGTATTTCATCCCTCTAGAAAGAGGTGGTGATTGCCACCAAGTTTCCATTCCATCGACTGCATATTCTGGTGGATGTCTTTTTTCTGGATTGTCAGCATCACAATAATCACATACCTATAATTAAAAATATAATATTTTTAAAAATATATTATTTTTTATAATATAATTAAATTAATTTTTAAAATTATTTAAAAATTTATTTTGCAATTAAATATTTTATTTATTACTTCACGAAATAAATTATTATTTACTATTATTTGTTATTATTTTGTTACTATTTTGTTTATTATTTTAGTAAAAATAAATGAATTTTTAATATGCAATGTAATATTTATATTATTAATGTTTATTATTAACATTATTAAATATATGCTATTTATTATACTTATTATTATTATATTGCTACATATATATTTATTATTATTATATATTTATTATTATTATTATGTTTATATACTATTATTATATACTAATATATTAATCATTTATAATTTAATATTTTATAGAGAAATAAATTAGAAGAAAAAAATAGAGAGAGAAATCTTCATAGAGAAACATTATTAATTAAGAAATAAATATTAGTTCCTCGAACAATCAATTTTTCAATTTCTTATTTACTTTCAAGATTACTTATTATTTACTACATGTTATTTACTTATTTACTATTAAGAACACAATATTAATTGAAATAAACTCATTAAATAATAATTAACGTTTGAAATAAATTTTTGCATATTTTTGCAGAACACATATATAATATTGAAACAAAAGGAAAGTTATAATTTTACTAGTCATCAATGATTGGACGGTTTTATTTCAAATAAAAAATAATAAATAAAAAGAATTACTAAATGAACTAAAATAAAATAAAATAATTGATAAATTTATTTGAAAATAAAAATATTTGTAAATAAATTTTAAAACTTCATTCAAAAAATAAATTATTTTTGAATCATTTATTTAATTAATTTTATTTTAATTTAATTTTATTAAATGTTTGATGATTTTAAATAATAATAAGATTTTTCGTGCATAAAAAATATAAATTTCATTTCAGATTAAGAATTCAAATTACGTAACTCAAAAAATATATATTTATATTTATATTATATTTTTACATAGACATATATATTATATATTTTTATACATTTTTTACATAGTACATGTGCATTATATAAAAAAAATCGTATAATAATTAATCTGCAATAAAATATGCATAAAACTTGTATTAAACTATAGCAAATTATATAAAAAATAATTCAAAATATAAAATTACATTTTATACAAATATTTTATTTAATAAAAAAAAATAAAAAAAAAGTTAATGTATTGTGAAAAATGGGAAAAAATGATATTTTTTAAAATTAAAATATGTTTATAGAAGTAAATAAAAAATTATGTAATTATAATAAACATATTAAAAAATCATGTAATTATAAATAAAACATATAATTAAAAAATAAAAACAAAAAATATTATTTATAATTAAAAGAAGATCCAGCTATATTTAAATCTAAAGAAAAATTAAAAAGTTTTTAAAAATAGAAATTTCATATAAAATAAAGATTTTTTTATCAAAATAAAAAATAAAAAAACACCTAAATATGAAATAAAGTAATAAATATTAAATTATTATTTATTATTATCTAATTCGTTATCTATATTATAATATCTATATTTCTATATTATATTATTATATATTCTATATTATAATATTAAATTATATAATATTATATTATAAAATTATCTATATTATAATATCTATATTATAATGTAATTCATATACATATTATATTACATTATAATCTATATCTATTTTAATCTATATTACATTATAATCTATATTATAATGTAATTCATTATTTTATAATTCTTAAAGATATAAAAATTTTTCAGTTTAATTAATGAAAATTTTTAAGTTTAATTAATGAAAATTCAACGTACGATTTGGTAAAATATATTTAAAATCTTTAATTGTTATTATAGAATTTTTGAAAAGTATCACAAACACTTTGTAATTTTTAATTAACATATGGAGCTCTCTCATTAATTAAGATTAATAATTATAATTTATAACATAGATAGAATAAGATCTTTATTTTTTATTTAGATAAGAATTCTACTAACAGTGATTTAATAATGGCAAAATTTAATAGTTGAGTTACGAATAAATAGTTATAATAGTTACGAATAAAGTTACTTCAATAAATTATTTCAATAATTTATTGTTCAAAACATAATGATAATTGCAAATAATTGTAATGCCAAAAATTAAGATGAAAAGCGGATTAACTATAATAGCTACGAATAAATGTTATTCAAATAGTTTAATAAGTAATTACTTAAAAACTTTATTCGAAATTTTTAAATATGTATTTTTTGGAATTAATGCCCAACTCTGTCCATTACTGAATGTGTATTATGAATATATTATTATATTTATATTATTATATATTATATTTTTTTATATATTATTATATTATTATATTATTATATTTCGATTTCATTATAACTTTGATATTTTTCAAATTGAAAATAAAAAAATATTTTTATTCATTTTTTATTTTTTATCTGATCTGATTAATGATTAGTTAATATGTTTAAAATAATGGAAATCTTGATTAAAATATGATGTAAAATATGATGAAAAATCAAATTTTATATTTTTTGTGTAAAAATTAAAAAATGTGATATAAGTTTTTCCAATTATAATTTACAATTATAAAGATAATTTACAATTCAAAAAAAAAATTTACAAAACAAAACTTGTAAAAATTCGTTACATCATTTTCTTAAAAAAAAAAAAATGAAAACATTAATATGTAACATATTAATTCTTAAATGTAAAATTTAATTTTAATAATTAATTTGTATTCGATTGATAAAAGTTCTAAAAGATCGTATATGCAAATCTTAATATATTTTAAGATAAGATATTGAAGTTAGAATTGTTTTCTTTTATTTATCATTTAAAAAATCAAAAGTAAATATAGCAGAAAAAACAGATTGTGATTTTTATATAATTGTTTCATTTTTATATATCAATAATATGAGACAAATTAAACAAAACAATAAAAAATTAATTACTTATAGGCTTACTTATAGGGTTTTAGTTTAATTTTAAAAATAATATACTATTGTTCTAATTCATATATTCTATAAAATTCATTATATTTAAAAAATATAAAATTCATTATATTTAAAAAATAAAATTCTATTACTATAAAAAAAAATCTATCGAAATAAAATAATAAATTATATTTAAAACTGAAAATTAATTTTGAATTGATAGTGATCATTTTTAATATTTATTTCAAATATTACAAATATTAATGATAAAATTAGAAAAAGATTCAATATAAAAAAGTAAAAATATGATTCCAAATTTTCATAAATATATTAAATTAAAAAAATGGCTATTGATATATAATAGTATTATAATAGTAATTTTAAATTAATAATAAAATTTTTAAAAATTTTAATATGAAAAGAAAAAGAACATTTTAAATTTTAAAATTAAGAACAAATTTTAAATTTTAATTGTTATGTTTGCATACAAATTTTCATCAAACAATTTCATCAATATTCAAATCCAAGTTTTAGAAATGTTTCAAATATATTTCAAAAATAAAAAATCTGCTTGCTTTTTTCGAATCAAAATAATATTTTTATCTAACTAAAACTTTTTTCTATTTTTATTTTTTCAAGAAAATAAAAATTATCTATTTATATAGAAATATATATAGAATAATATAAAAATAAATAAATATATATATATATATATATATTTCATTAGTACTTATTTTTCAGTACTTATATTTCATTCTTTAATTGTTCCTTTGAAATAGGAAAAATAATTATTATTTAATGAAAACAATTCGAATCTTAATTACTCATATAATATCAAATTATAGTTATAGTTATTATAATATATGCTATAGTTATAGCATATAAGTTATTATAATTATAGTTATAGCATATAACTTGTACTACAATTTCATTTTCGATTTGTGACAAAAATTGGATTATTCTATTGCAAAGATAAAATTATTAACATTATTACGTTTTTTTTTAAATTATTATTTCGTTTTTCTTTATTTATTTTGAATGTTTCGGGAATGAATTTTCAATCAAGAAATAAATGCTATTTCCTCAAATAATTCTTAAATTTATTATTTTCCCAAATATTTTATTTTCAATTGACAAAATAAATACATAAATTTAATTAAAATACATTATTCATCAAATAATAGATAGCGTTATTTGAAATGATTTTTAATAAATTATTATTTGAAATAAATTTTCTTCAACTTAAAATATTCTCATTTATAGAAGTTTTTACAGCAAAGCGGAAGAGAAACAAAATTATAGTCTTATTATAATTTATAATTAATTTAAACTATAAAAATGTATATATAATATAATTAACACTTCAGTTACATATTCGTCCATTTATCAATATAAAGTTGAATGACCTGATGTCTTTTAATTCTCATATATAGCATAAAATTATAGCATTAAATTAAATGCAATTTAATTTAAAATTATTCAATTAAACTTTCCTATTAACTAAATGTATAATAAGTTAGATTAGGAAAAAATTAAATAATTTTTACAAAGATTTCTACAAATAGTAAAGTTTTTTTTTTAAGAATCATTGTAGGACACTCGTGTCAATACAATCGTTCGGAATTTGAGAAGACAAGATGGTCAAGTGTTATCGAGAGGTCATTCTTATCACAGGCTTTTTATCAGTCCTCTCACTTCTAGTCTACATAGCATTTTCTCTCATCCATATAAACAGATATATATGTAACACTCGTAGAATCGAATGGCCATTGACCATTCGAGAAATTCTAAATTTATGAATCGTTCAATAATATCAATTATTTCATAATCTAATGAAAAAAACATAATATAAAAATAAATAATTACAATTAATAATATTACAATTAATAATATTATCAATTGTTTTAAATGTTATGCGAGAAATAAATCGGTCATCTAATTTATTATTTCCTGTTTGATTGAGGGAATCCCGTTCTATGATATGTTGTCAAGAAATGTAAAAAGATTAATAGTAATTAAGATAAAATAATTTTTTAAACGATTTTTTAAACGATTAAGATAAAAAATTATTTAATTTCTTTGTATTAATTCTAAATTTACATAAATTTTTACTTTTTAAAAAATAATCTAATTTTTAAATAAATAATAAATATATTATTTATCTTGATATATTTAAATATATATTTTTTCGTATAATGTATTTTTTTTTTTTAGGTTTTCAAGATTATTACAACTATTCTTTCGGAGCAGTAGAATTTACATTAAATTAATTTCAAAAAAATATCAAATAAATATAAGATTAATTAGAAATAACATTAATCTCAAGATTCATTGAAAAAAATTACTGATAAAATTAATGATAAAATTAAATCAAGAGTTAATACTATAAATTTTTATATTATTTATAAATTTTGATATTATAACAATTAATGATGTAATTATACAAAAAATTTTATTAGATTTATTGAAATAATTATACACACATTATATATTATATAATTATTTGAGGAAATTACTTGAAATGATTCTTAATATATACGTTATGTTAATTATTACTAGTAAGACGAGATTTATGAAAGACGCTTTTTAGCATATAATTTCATTCACGCTTTGTACAAAAAATGAACACGATCTTCTTTTATCAAATTTGAAGAACGATAGCACGCTTATTACTAATACCGCGTATGTGTCACAGAAGAAAATTTGTTGAATGCGATATAAATTATAATATTAAAAACTATAAAATCTTTAAAAATAAATTATAAAGTTTTTTTTATTATTTATTATTTTTATGATTTATTTTGAAATTCAGAAATTTCTAAATTTTTTGCAAACTTTTATATATTTAAAAAATAAATTATATTATATTTTCATCATAAAGAAAGATATAAAATTTAACTACATATGCAAATAATAAATAGATAATTGTTAATTTACTTTATTTATTCAAAAATTATCTTTTATGTATAAAATTCTAAATTTTGCGATTTCAATTTATCACGATTTGAATTTAAAGTTATTTGCTATAATTTTTTCTTTTATGTATTTTTTATATATTTTTTATATATAAAAATAAAAAGAAAAAATAGTTAATAGTGAATGGTCGGTTGATAAAGCTTGATAAACTCTTGGACTTAAAGGATTAAATATAGATAAAAATTGAAACTCCAACTCCATTCTGACTACATGACTAATAATAAACACACGTTCTCAAATAAATATTAAATAACTATTTCGATAAAAATTGATCAAAACTAAAAAGAAATTTATGAAATATTTAAATAGTTATAAATTAATCTAAAATTAATATAATATTATATAATATTATATAAGGTATTTTTTAAAAAACAAAACTTACCCTTAATTTAATCTATCTATTTTGTTTATAATATAATTTTGCACTATTCTACGATGATTTTCTATAATCATTCTATGTCACTCAATAATCACTCTATATCTAATATCAAATTTATTAACCAAAAAATAAAAAAAACAGAATTTGCTTAGATAAGCTATGGATACGAATGATCATAGGAATGATCATTTTTCAATTAAAAATGATAAAGCAAAGAACATAAACATATATATACTAACCTGTCCCTGTATCAGATTTATATCCTCATGTTGATCGGCATTTGCACCGACGAGTTTACAATAAAGTTCTGGTCCAGGAGTATCGACACCACACGTGGCTGATGCGATGATCTCTTTTCCCTCGGCTAAATTAAAATACGGTGGCGTCAGGATTTCGTTTTTTGTTTGGTGGATCAGCACGTTGGCCAACGAAGCGACCAGCAACCACCTCGCCATCCTGACAGTGGACAGATCGAGCCCGCCACCGTCGGCACTGGTATCTCGTCCTTTAGCGCGGCGTGTTCTCTTTCGAAACTATCGTTGGATCCGTATATTCTCTTTGTCTCTTTCTCACTCTTGTTCTCTTTTTGAGAGAATACACGAGAGAAACGTGGAGAGATGCTGATGAAGCCCGAGTGGCTTCTCGGTATAGACTGAATATATATGTGAATACTGACAGGCCGGAGGTCATCGAGGACTGACGGTCTATGGTAGGAGAGAGGGGGGTGAGGGTAGCAACTCTAAGAAGGATGGTCCACACACTTCGAAACCATATGCCATTCCGTACCCTTACACACGTGCAAGCTTCTGGCCCAATAGACTAGACTATTGTCTAAGTACTTCTTTCGATCCTCGAACTAACTCAGTTACTATATTCTATATTTATTCGCAAATGAAATTTTATAGTAACAATAGTAATTTTCGGATAGGAACTGTTTTAAACGATTGAATTGTATAATTTGGTTTTCTTAATGTTGGATTATTTAGATTTGTGTTTAAGCTTTTAGAAATAAGTATAAGCGATTAATATTCCCCTTCCGGAAAATATTTATACAATCTTTCTCGGAATATGTTGTAATCGGAAAAAAGATATGATTGAGAGGAAAGTTGTAAATAAAATCTTAGATTGTATTTAATCTATCGATAAAATTTTTTATTCATTTTGAATATATATTCATTAAATATGTACAATATGTCAATATTTTCAAATAACATTTTTAAAATTTACATATTATTTAATTAATGAAAAAATTAAATAATATATTTCATTGTATTATTGTATATTTAAAATATTATTTTTCGTTGATAAAATTGTTTTTTGTTGATAATTATTAAGAAAAAAAGGCTGAATGGAAAATATATTTGATTTTTGTAATATTAAGATCAATTTTTGTAATATTAATTAAGAAAATCTTCTTAATCTTGTTTTATTCGCTTATAATAAATAGCGAAAAACATAATACTTGAACTTAAAATCACAGAAATAACAAAATTTCCCAGTAGTAAAATATCTGCTGAATCCATCCATATAGTAAATACTCTTGCTGTAAATTAAGATCAATATGTAGCATAAACTTCTATAGAGAAATCAATATTGATAACTTACTCAAATTAGTAAACGCAGAGATAAACCATGTAATTGGTGATACTGTATCTGCATTTTTCGCTCGAATAATTGCCAATAATTGAATAATCTTACTTGAGACAGAAATTGGGGTACACAGCGGCTAATAATAACAAAATAAATTAAAAAATGACTATAAAATTGTAAATTAATTTTGAATTAATTAAATTAACTAACCGCTAAAATCGTAAGTACGAATTTTGGTATGAGTTGCATTGCAAGAGAAATACTTGTAGCAATATATAATATTGAGACTAGAATTGAAAATATATTTATTTTATTTAAGTATTTTAGGACTAGAAAGATTAGAATGTATTCCTGGAATAGAATAATAGGATATTCCAAATAAGATAATACTGAATAACCATTTGTGAAATTATAACTAGTCATCACTGTATAACTGTAAGAAATATAAATTGAGCCAATATTATAAGAAATATTGAAATCTAAATTGAAAAACAAAAATTTATATATTTATAATAGATAAAACTTACCTAGTTAATTCTAATAAAAGACTTACAATTGAAATTTGATTTGCTGATTTAGCAGTCAATAAATTCAAAATTTGGGGAATCTTTAATATGAAACACATACCTATTGTTATAAGGCTTAAAAAATCTGCAAGTTGTTGGAGTAACATATTTATAATTTTTTATCTAATTATATATTTATACCTGCAATTATTAAATAAATAAAAACTACTTTTTAATTATATATTGATTATATTATAATTCTATTATATACTAATTATGTATTTATTTACAAAATAAAATAACAAAAAAAAATTGAAACAAATTTTATAATAGATAAAATATTAATGCATTAACTGAATAATTTATTTCTATATATATAATTTCTATATATATAATTTTTATTTATCTATAATTTTATCTATTTATATACATATAATTATTTACATTATATTTATTTACAATTATATACATATAATTATATTTATATCATGTAATTTAAATATAGTTCTTTTATATTTATTTTTTACATATATTAATTCAAAATAAATTTTGTTTAAAATTTTGTTTAAAATTTATTGAATAAAAATTAAAATTCTACAATTTAAAATTTTGATTTTGTGAAAAAAAATAAAAATTGTCAGATTATTTTTATGAATTTTTATGAATTTTTTAATTCTATTCAAATTCAATTTATATTAAACATTTATTTAAATTTAAATTTAAATTTATTTAAATTTTTATTTAAATTTATATTAAGATTACAAATCATTAATAAAATAAATCTTAATATTTTTAAGAATGATTTTGAGTAATTTAATTATTTCATAATTCTCAATTTATTAAAAAAAAATATATAATACATATAAAATATATAAAGTATCATAAAATATATAATATATAAAATGCTATTATATAAAATTATAATTTATTAATTAAATTTTAAAAATATTAATTTTTTAACCTTCTTTAATAAATTATCTTCATTTATACGTCGTTGTATAAAAAATATTTCTTCCACTAATATTGAAGATTGTATATCTGTCAAGTATACATATATTTTGTAACTATAATTACATTGACAACTGTTTACACATATTTGTAACATTCTTGAGAATGTTTTATACTTGCATAATTATAGTATCGCATAATATGCATAAAATGTATACTCCTCAATTATGAATTAAAATGCATAATTATGTCGAAGATATGTACACTTATTTGACACGATAATGTTATCGATAACATGTATATTTAGTAAATTTTTATCTAGGAACTTTTTAAAATTCATGTATAACAACTTCAAGAAAAACTAAGTTAATAAAAAGATAGAAAGTAAAATAACTTAAAAATTAAACTAAATATTAATAATAAAAACAATTAACATGATGTTTAAGAAATAGAACATGTTAAATATTTGATACATTTTTATTATTTTTATATTGTAACATTTTCAAAATTATTAGGTTAAAAAAAATTTTAATATTAAATTTTTATCAATTGTAAAAAGTTAATAATTTTCTATATTTTAATTTTTTTATTTATATAAATCAATTAATTTACGTTTAAAAAAATTATAATATTTTACTTATGAATGTTGGTCATTTGAAAATGAATAACTATGTACATAAAACTATTTTGAATTGTGCAATCACATTGGCTATAGTTCCTCCTTTTGTGAAATACATTGTCGATCCCGGAAAGTACTCGAATAGAATTCTTCCTTAGCATGACAGACGGAATGTGGGAACGGAACTGACATGGAGTAAACTAACGTGAAGGACTCGCGTTTGTCTTTTAAATATTGATTTGTCTGTAGAACGAACGTTATGTGACAACAATGAACATTTTTCTGATACTCTACTTCATTGACAAATATTACGTGAATGCGATCGAGTTGCAAGTAACCTAACATAAGTACGTAAAATTCACTTTTAACTTTCGAAACGTCAAACGTAGTCAACTACTATCTACGACGCAAACATCAACCTTACCGGGATATTAAAGTGGTCATTGTATGGCATGTATCTTGATCGAGATATTTCGAATATTTCGCACAATAGACAATTAAAACATGAATCATACAGAAGAATATCCTCAATTTTTGTCCATACTATATCTACATGAATTAAATTTCTTTATAAAGTGATATTAAAATATTATATTGTTATTATGATATAAGAGTTAAAGTGATATATTATATTGTTTTTTTATATCATACATCTTTTGACAGTATTAATATTTTTCATAAGAATATATTTTTCAATTCTTTTTATTTTGTATGTAATTCATGTTTTTAAAACAAAAGTTTATGTAGTATATAATTGAAGGTTAAATATTACAAATTTGTAAAATATATTCTTATTAAAAGAATATTCTTAACAAATTTTTATTTAAATAATTTAATAATACACGACTATATAAAATAGATATAATAATTATATTTAAGTCAGAAAAAAGATTAATGTCAAATATTGTTATATACTTATAAATATAAATTTAATTTAATATATATTTTTATTAAATATTTTTTCAGTTTTTTATTCATAATGGACCATATGAAAAGTACAAGTATTTATGTAAACATGAAGATCATGCAACATTCACATGTTGTTTGTAATTGTTATTTTCAGGTAAGAATTCTTGAAATATAATTGAAAATTAATTTTAATTTTGTCAAAAAGATTAGTAAAATTAACTAAAAATATTTAATAATTAAATTAAATTAATATCATTATAATATTATAGGGGACAATGTGGAACTTCCAAAAATTTTGGCTATTATAAATCTTTTAATAAATAAATAAATTAAAAATTTGAGATGGACTCTCCACCGTCTTGTTCACTAAGCGCTACTGGACCTCTCAGTGATCTTGGTAGCAGTGGAATTGGAGGGTCCATTTCTAGTGATTCAGTTAGAGCTCATCTTGCAATCGAGGTATATTTTATTATTATAATTTATAAATATAATAATAAATATAATATATACATATATATTATATATATAATATTATAATATTGATATCTCTACAAGTAAATATGCTTAAATATTTTAAAAAGATAAAGAATTTTTTAAATTGAATGATTAATTAATTAATTTTTGTTTTAGATGCAAGAAAGCGATATAGAAAGTAAATCTTTATCACAAGATTCGTTTGATTATTCAGATGGTATGTGTGGTGAAAATTTTAATACATTGAAAAAAGGACCAGGATGGACTGATGCTGATGGAAAACTGGAAGTTGAAGTAGTTGATGTAGCTATTAAACCTCCACCAGAATTTCAAGATAGCCCTTCTCCTCCTAATTCTGAATCTTCATCTGCACCGATTCTTAGCTATGCACAATTAATGAGACAAAAAGTTCCACAATTAATAGATGATTATGCTGAAAATTTAGTACAGTCAATGATTGAAGAAGCACTAATAATATCTTGTAGAATATCATGGCCAGAAGGAAGAATAGCACCTGCAACAAATCATGTACCAGTGGTAACTCGTAGTATGTACAATCCAAAACGTCTTTGGGCAACAGATTTGTTGACACCTTCATCATGCCAAGGAGCTACTACTTTAATTACTCCATATAATACTTTAAATCGTCCAAATTCACGATGTTCATTAGCCTCTTCTCGTTTATCCAGTTCTCATAATTCAATAAATACCTCAGGACTGAGTCATAAAGCGGATGACAGCAGTTTTATCACCTCTGCTATGTCACATGATGTTTTAACGACCAGTGAGATTAGTGATATGTACAATGTGCCCT